GCCTTCTCAAGGAGTTTATCTATACTTAGGGCAATTTTGGGTTCCACTTCCCCACTACGCTATACTAATCTTAAATAATTTTATATATTAATTTATTTCATTTATTTATTTATTTTATTTATTAATTTATTTTATTTATTAATTTATTTTATTTAGTGTTGCGAAACGAACTGACTCACTTATTCATGTACTTATTTAGTGGTTTTGAGAAGAAAAAAATTTAATATTAACTTAAGTAAAAATTTTGAAATTCGATAATAGAGTGGTTAAAGCACTAAGTTTTCATGATGAAAGTCAGGGTTCGATCTCCGGCAGCGTTTTAAAATCTACCCAACTTCAAAACGATAGGTACAAGTTTGGCTGTGAAGTAAAGGCGGTCGATGCGCTGTGCATTGTGTGAACGCATCGCCACCATTTTGGTGTTTGTCTAAAAATTGTGAAGCTTCAACCTTTTTGACACTCTATAACCCACAACGGGATGTTGCTGGAATGTTTAATGTTTTTGGTAAAAATATAAAACCAATGATCGCTATAGCAACTAAAAACATTAAATGAAAATTAGTTAAAGTAGTACGCCAAATATTTTTTAAATTACATAAACTTCAACTATATCTTTTATTTTACACTTAATTAAGATAAAAGCTAAATAATATAAATATTCTCTCATTGCATGTGTTGAAAGTTTTTACTTTATGCAAATCAAACGGCTGCCATATTATTAGATATCAAACATCGGTAACAATATAGCTGAATTTGAGCATAGAAATTCTTATTAATGTAAGTAAGTAATAAACGTAAGGGCAAAACCAAATACGAAAAGGGGAAAGAAACCACTTGAAAAAGTACTATTTAAATTTAATATTAGTTCTTAATTCCTTATATCATTAAAAAACGCATTACTTTGCATACTGTGGATTTTAGTACAAAAAGAAATAGAAAATTTTTTATGTGATAAACTGTTCCTTAATTAGCTGAAATTTAAATTCAGTTTAATATTTAAAGCAAATTTTAAATTGAAACCTGAAACTTATAAGAAATCATAAAGAACAAAACAAAATCCATCGGTTGGGAAATGATAAGAGTCATGAAAGATTTAACCCTAGATAATTAAACATTCGTCTAGCAGAATACTGACAGAGCCGGGCTCAGACTCGTTTACTGAATAGGTTTCAGACTCGGGTAGGCTCTGATTCCAGATAAAATGTTCTTCAACCTTTTTACTACTTTTAAGCAAACGTTATGTTGAGTTATTAACTGTAAAAATTTAATTACGATTAAAGGTTTTTAAGGAATAATTTCCTTGCTTAGACAAAAAGGCCTTTATCCGACGTATATCTCAGACTCGGTTTCTATCCTGTGGATCTGGAGCTCTGGTAAGAATTCTTCGGGCTCTGACCTACAAAAGCGAGCCCTTACTCTTGTTACAGACTCCTGCCAGTTCTATGAATTACACGCTACAGTCTCACTACCTCACTCACAGCAGCACCATAACTAGTAACCTCACTCACAGCTGCACCATAACTAGTAGCGTCACTCACAGCAGCACCATAACTAGTAACCGCACTCACAGCAGCACCATAACTAGTAACCTCACTCACAGCAGCACCATAACTGGTAACCTCACTCACAGCAGCACCATAACTAGTAACCTCACTCACAGCAGCACCATAACTAGTAACCGCACTCACAGCAGCACCATAACTAGTAAAATGAGTTATGAGAGGTGGTATAGCGCTGCTATACACTCGTTATTTTTAGAGATTTTTTTTAATCGTCGTCGAATATTCAGTTTTAACTTGAAGATTTTATAACCGCCATTGAACAGTCAATCCAATTTATGGGTTTACGACTACTAATGTTCAACTCCGTAGCCTTGTAGTTTTGAACCCAATCCAGCAGACAAGGGAGCTCCTGGATCATGTATTAAGAGAGAAATTTGCCTTCGTAGAGGACTTTTTGATGGAACTAACCCGCATTTGCGTTACATGGAGAGGAAAACCACGAAGACCTTCCATGGTTAGCCAGGTGGCATGGGGACTCTAACCCATGATCCGTCTTCCACTGAGAATATTTTACGTCAGCATTGTGGTCCGTACAAGGCAGGTGCGGAATTCGTATCGTCAAGCCATCGCGGGGATTCGAACCCGGTTCACCTCATTAGAAGGCGGACGCTCTATCCCCTGAGAAATGTAGAAATTGGCTCACATGTAGAAATTGGAGGCTTGTTGTTGTTGTTGTTCATTTACGTCGCACTAGAGCTGCACAATGGGCTATTGGCGACGGTCTGGGAAACATCCCTGAAGATGATCCGAAGACATGCCATCACAATTTGTGATCCTCTGCAGAGGGGATGGCACCCCCGCTTCGGTAGCCCGACGACCTGCACGCGAAGTCGAGCACTTTACGGTAGAACAGTTTGACGAGGACTCATACCGCACACCCTCGGTCCCTACGCAGACTGATTCAAGTGGTCACCCACCCGCACACTGACCGTAGCCAGTGATGCTTGACTTCGGTGATCTGCTGGGAACCGTGTCCACTGCGGTACAGAAATTTGGAGGCAATGCCTTAATCTGCATTTTAAGTTTTTTCTGCGTTTTATTATGCTCAATATTTTCTATTCTGTCCATGATAGAAACGCAGACTGAGGTGAGCAAATGATAATTAATTAAATATTTTTTTAATGAAATATTCTACTTTAAATTGTGATATTTTTGAAAAAAAGGAAAAAATATTTTTAAATTCTTATTAATCGAACGATAGATTAACACTGGTTTAAGTACAGTTATCCAGGTTAAGGCTACCAGCAATTGCTCATTTCTAAGAATTTTACAGATGTTAAGCATACAAGAACTTCTCAGCAGACTCCGAAGGGCTCTGTTCGGCTTTGCCATAGCCATTACACAAACTTCGGTAGTGGGGATCAGAAGGAAAAAAAATCAGATTTCAGTTTAAAAACTTGTTTGTTGAAAATTCAGGATTAAGAGCATTTAATGATCACACATTACGAACAGATAGCTTTGTGAACTTACCGACATTCTAAATCTGATTTCAAATCTCAAATGCTAAGTTTCCTGTATGTCCTCAGCTTAAATTTGTTCATTAATATGGACTGGACGTTTAGTCTACAAAGCCAAGATATCGCTTTTGCTGAGCCATATTAAAATTGTACTCAATGTAAGATCGAAAGAAGTTAGTGAAGGAGGTCAGGAAGTTGTCTAGAGTTCTGGAACCTCCATTTTTATCTCGTTTAAAAGATTAATATATAGGGTGTTTATAAAGTCCCGAACCCATTTTGATGTTTAATAACTCATAAAATAATTAAGATAGATTAAAATTAATAACATAAATGGTTAGATAGACTAAAAAGTTTCATGACCCTTGTCAATGAACCTATAGGTGGCGTAGGGCAGAACTCTTTACCTATGGCAACACTTCGCATGCTTTCACTGTAACGTGTGGAGAGTCATAGGAGAAGGAAGTACGTCAGTTTCTCTCTTGATTTTCAAATAGATTAAAATCTTTTAATTTGGAAAACTATACGGAACTGTAAACTATATAGAGCATAGCTCTAAAAGGAAGCATTTTTAAAATTTTGACAATTAAATACGAAAAATATTAAGGAGGAAAATATCGTAGAACATCCCTATGCAACTGAAAAGAGGAGGAGAGGGAAAGGGGTAGGGCCAAAAGCTTGGAACCGGTCTTTTCCCAAGATGGCGCAGTCGAACGTTGCGATCGCGAATACATAAGTACCAATGTTTTCAAATTAGTAGTAATTTTCAAATTCTAATTAATTTAGTTTCTCGCTAATTTAAAATTATAGATTAATTCTCTGTGATAACTAAACAGAAGTTACTTTTAAAAGTTTCAAGAGAGTAATTTACTTTTTAATAATTTTTCTTGAAGTAGGGAAAAGACTTTATTTTTATTTTAATCAAATTTTTTGTTATTTAATAAAATTATAAATACTATAAATATTTTAGATATTAACTTCATTGTTATGCTAAAAAAAATTTCTATGGTGAGCAATTAACGATGTAAAAATAAAGATTTACTTCAAATATATGTGCTTGCAAGTAAATATTATTTTTAGTTTAATATATTAAATTAATTTATATATAAATGCATATAAACGTAATTTGCTCGCGAAATTAATGTAATTTTAAATATGAAAAACAGAATACAATTCCAATTTTACTAATTCCATTTTTATCTTAAATTGATATTTTTCTTCGATTGATTGAGACAGATTTTTGACAAAATTGTTAATCTTTTAAATCAAAAAATTTTATTTAAGCTTCTATTTATTTTTTCTTTTAGTTAAGTTTTACCTTAATAATGTGGAAAAAACTATAGAATAGAATTTTTTTTTCGTTTTATTAAATTAAAAATAAGACACTATGCAGTTGTTTATGTAAAATTAAAATGTATCAAAGTTTCTAAAGTATAAACGTTTGAAATGATTTTTATAATTTTACTAAATTTTACAAAAATATTTTTGTAATTTTTTTTTCAAAATTCAAATTGAAAGTAAATATTGAAATAAATAATTTAAAAAATTAGTTATAAAAAAATTATATAAATGTAAAATAAATGTTTAGCAGTTGATTTATAAGTTTGTAATGCTTATAAAAGTTTTGTAAGCTTTAAAAGCGAAATATATGCCTCTGGGGATCGAATCACCAACTAAGTTTGCTAACTCGAATTTAATTAACTTTAAATTTCTTTCATTGTCTCCAAAAAAGTCTTTATAGTGTGTTTTAAGAAAAGACATGTGGACTTTGATTGCCATGTTAAGAGTAGGAAAATTCCGTGAAAACTAGGACTACGCCAACTACTAGCGCCACGTAAGGAGTGTATTAGTGGCTCGTCGCTTTTCGGAACTTGAGTGGTTTGTTTTGTATATGTCTGTACCGCATGTAGTTACGCAATGTTATATTCTCAGTAAATATTGAAATTGAAAACAAAATCCTTCATTTAAGATCGGTATTAAATTATTCGTTTACATAATTCCGCGATATAATTTAAATTTGACTTATTTATGATTAACCAATCATTTATGAATCATCAACTTATTTATAATGCCAATCTGTTTAAATCATTTTTCTTTTTAAAATGTTAAAATAAGTTTTTTCAACCTTATGATTGGCGCCAAAGTTAATTATTTTATGTGATGTGATAATGTACTGTACCTTGTAAAAAGGGTTAATTGATTTGTAGAATAATTATTGTATATAAATTTAGTTTTATATTTAGAATCGTTTCAGGTTAAGCAGTGTCCCTGTTTCAAAAATATTATTCAGGAAACATAAATTAAACATGAAAAAAATAATTTTTAGGTGCTAGATAATTACAGTTTATTATTCCCCATTTTGGGGTATCTAACAGGGTTCACAAAAACCCAAGTTTTTTAAAAAAAACTTCTGCCCATGTCAGTTTTTTCATGACAAAAATCTAATTTTGTTGTAGGATAAGTGAGATTTTTTTTTATTCAATATATTCTACATGCGTACTTATTATACTGAATATAAGAATAAGATATAGTATACGCTGAAAAAATGTTCCAAATCAAAGAGATAAATAAAAGAAATAGTTATGAGAATAAATATTTCAGTCATTTTTCTGTCTTCTAAAAGTATGAATTGCATGATGATTAAGTTACTGAAATGAATATTAATAAATGTTATGTGATGAGTTTTAAATTGTAAATATACATTCATTAAATGAAATGTGCAGTATATCTTTTTGAAGCACATGATATGTTCATTTGTATTTTTCAATGTCTGAATGTTTTATGCTTCATAATGTACAAAAATTATCTAAAATATACTTTTTGCTCTTGAAATGAATGAAAGAAGATAATAAATTGTTGTATTCCGAGTATATAATTTAAGATTTTTATTGGACAAGAAATTAAATACTCCTCAGATTTAAATGATAATTTTGTATAAATAACTATATCATGAACAACTAATATCTGCAATATGCATTCATATTCCATAAATAAATAATTCCATTGGTTGTTCACTACATTATTTAATCTTTCTTTTATAATTAACTTAATTTTTACCAAATAAAATTTTCGCACACAAAAACAAGATTTAAAAATAATAAATAAGATGCATTTCTGATACTCCTTTAAATGTAAATATTAAATTTGAAATATCAGAAAATATTTATATCTGTTGTGTTGTTACTAATGCTAAATGCTTGAAGCAAATAAAAATTTGCCTGAGAAAAAAGCCATCAATATCTTATTAAAAGAAGAGACTGAGAACTAATGATGGTGGAAAAATTATCTTAATTTCTTCTTCTATAGCTCTACAGCCTTTTGTGGGCTCTGGATTGTTCTGCCATCCTATTCCATACAGCCCTCTGTTTTGACTTCTCCCTCCACCTACAAACCATCTTCAATAAAATTAAAAATTTTCACTCAATTTTTGCCTAGTTAAATATACAGTAAATAAATAGATTTTTTTATGTCTAAAGAAAAAATTGAAATAGAGACTTTCTAAGAAAATGTCTGTTTCAAGCGACCTTTAACATTTCCTTGGTGAAAACTTACTTAGTCACCCCATGCTCATCCTCCCTCAGTGGAAATATAGATCCCCACTACTAACCGATGTGGAAAGTCTTGGTTTCAAGTGTCCCAAAAAATTGAAAAATCACAGAAAAATATAAATAATAACTGAGCACTAAAAGATATTAAAATTTCGAAAATAAAAGTAAAAATTCGTTGCAATAACTGAATTTTTTTTTATCAAAACATTACAACACAATAAATTTTTGTGTCCCATCGGTTGGTGGCGTATGAAAGAGCCAATCATTTTACATGTTGACGAAATCGAACCAAAAAATCTCTCCATCATATGGTGGGGGCTAATATAATTCATGTAAATTCGTTATCCTAAATCCTCACTCACTCTTTTAAAAAATTGAAATCTTTGGATTATAATTTTTCGGGACAAAAATCTTTCTAAAATTTCTGGAAAAAAAAAAGAAAAAAAATTTTCACTTAATTATTCTTTATTTTTCATTATTTTCAAATGAGAATAGAAAAATCACGAGTATTTCTCTCCCCTCTGATGCGTAAGAAAAACATATATCAAATGTAATTCTGGACGGGGGAAAATTTAAATTTTGGGAAAATAAAACCATAGTTTTTTACAAAGTAAGGTAAAACAACATTGTTTTACCTTACTTTGTATTTCAGCACAAAGGTCGCCCTTATGTGTATTCATAGTTTTTTACTTAATAAAAAAAATATTTCTTGTTAGAACTCTGTATCATTCTGCGACAATGCCGGTATGATTCTTCCACGGGAGATTGGAAATGATAAAGTGTGAAAAAATCTACTTGGTTTAAAGATGAGTTTTTTCAAGTGAACCCAATCTGATAAAACCTTGATTTTTCTGGCCAATCTTGGCAGACCCTGTTACATAGCTGCCAACTCTACTGGATTTTCCAGTAGACTACTGGATTTTCCAGTAGACTACTGGATTTTACCAGTTTCTCCTGGACTACTACTGAAATTCTCCTGGTTTTTGTTCATTTTAGAAAATTCCCTAAAATTGATTAAGTTTAAATAAAAGAACCCTATTGAAATAGAAATTTTGTACAGATTATTACCTGCTTGCTTCAATATTTAAATAAGCATTTCTAATACATACTGAATTGTAACTCATTTATAGAAATCATTTCAAAACTTTTTTGTTCTAAAATTGTTCAGTTTATTTTTATTCAGAACTCTCTTTTTAAATTAATTTAAAAAAATATTTTAACTATCTTTGATGAATTAAATACCTATTTATATTTGAAATTATGATTAAACATAATACATAGTAACATTTCAAGTATGTTTAATGTCAATCATAACTGGAAAATATTACAGTTTTTCTCTTTTCATGACAATAAAAATCTCTAAAATTCCCTATGTGTAAAATTTTCAGTACATTATGCAACAATTATCATGTAATTTACATTAATTCATAAAATCTACTGGATTTTTTCCTATAGCTATGCTGGTATCTAGTGTGACACTTGTTACCTAAATGCTAATTATTAAACTGAAGTACTTTGATTTCAAACTATAGAAATACATAGTGTAGTAACTATATTCATTATTTTCTTAGTTGTTAACTTAACTTGTTTCAAATAGAAATAGAAGAAACAAAATTTTAAAATTATTTTAGTTTAATAAGTAAAATTATATTTAGAATTATTTTTAGCTAAAGTAAATTACCCTAAAGCAGGTACCCTTTGTGGTAAGCAATAACATAAAGTGGAAGTAATTAATGCTAGATATTTTCAAGTTTTTATTGTTTGAAATATTTAAACGTATCAAGACAATTCTGAATCAAATTTCAGTATGTTAAAGATTGTTAAAGCATGTTAAAGATTTTTTTTTAACAAACTTTTAAACTATAATCTAAAATAATAATTATTATTTTATAGAAAGCAGGAAGAACCTTCACAACTATGGAGAACAGTAATGAATTTGAAGAAACACCTTTAAGAAGATCAAGACGCAAGCCTAAGGAAAAGAATACAGTTCAAAAGCTGGATGTGGATATTACTTCTATCAAAGGCATTACTGTTGTTGAAAATACACTTGTAAGAAGATCAGGGCGTAAACCCACGAATAAAAAGAATGATGACCAAAATTCAAAAACTGATCAAGCTATTTCGAATTTAAATCAAGATCAAATGTTAAAAACCTCAAAGAGTGTGAACAAAAAATTTAAAGTCAAAAATGAAATTTCCTCTCCAAAATTTGAACCAACTTCTGTTGATATTTCGGGGTTTGGTTTGAAAGATTTAAGTCCTTCTTTGCCTGAGATGGCAAAAATAAAAACAGAATTAGTAAAATCATTTGATATGCAGCCATTAATAGATTACAATTACACTATTGATGCTCAAGAAAAAATATCTTCTGAAAAACCAAAAGTGCAAAGGAATAGAAAACGAAAAGCAAGAGACCTTGTAGAGGATAGCGTATCGCCTGAAAAAAACGAAAAAACTGCGTCTAAAAAGAAATTAACCTCAAAAAACATATCAACTAAAGTTCAAGGGGAAAAGGAGCCTGAAATTTCATTTGAACCAATCATGAAAGAAAAACTGTTAATAGAAAATAATAATTCTGCTTTTATTGGCTCATCAACCAGCGAAAAAACGGTTTTGCAAGTTCTTGCTCAGCATGAGTTAGGTGCAGGCAGTGAATCACCTCCTAAAACACTGATCAAAGAGAGCTGTGATTCGAGTAGTGAGTCAGATTGGGAAGAAGTTGAAGAAAGAACAGAGGTGAGCCTTGATGATTACAATCCAGTCATTCCCAAAGATGGCGTAGAAATTACTATAGATTGTCCAGAACTCAATGTACGCAAACGAAAGAAAAAACAGTTCGATCACATGGAATACATTAGACTTTATATTAATCGTGAACGAAAAGATCATCAATTAAATGTACATAAAACTCATATATTATGTCTATTAGCTCATGGGTTATTTGTAAATAATATTCTAAACCTGCCCTATTTAAGAGCTTTAGCACTTTCCTATCTGCCCTCAGATTTGTTAGCAGTGACAGCTGGTCGAAAGATAGACAAAGCGGATTCTGGTGTTATACGTAATGTGGTTTCTTGGTTTTGCGAAAATTTCAGTTTTGAAAATAAGCAGTTGCCTTTCATTGATTTCCAAGAACGTATGCCTAACTACTTTCAGGAGCGAAAATCCTCAAGTCCATCTGAGTACAATTTACTGTTCGTAGTATTTGCTAGAGTTTTAGGTTTTAAAAGTAGACTTTGTGTTTCTCTTAATCCTGTTAGTCACAAAGCAAAAAATTTATTGAAAAAACCGTGCTCGAAGGAAAAGGTTGAGCGTGGCCCAAAGGAAGAGCTCAAAAAATCAATAGTTGCGACAAAAGACAAAAAAGTTAAATCTGATATTTCACTTAAAGAAAAGAAACTTCAACTCCGGCGATCTAAGAAAGCTAAAAGCTGCAAATTAAGCAGCGGTGAAGATGAAGATTTTGTTGAGACGAACTCTAAAAAAATCAAACAAGTAAAAAAGATGTCTAAAAATATTTCAGGAAAACGATCCAATCGCAATGTCTTATCTAGTGATTCGGAGCCTGATACGCCAGAAAACCAAAGTTTTGAGGAAGATAAGATCATCTGCTGGTGTGAAGTTTTTTCTAAACCAGATAAACAATGGATTTCTATTGAATGTACTAATGCTATTGTTGATAAACCTTATGATATTGAAAAATTACTTCCAAAACCTGTGGCATATATTTTAGGTTATGATAATGATTGTTACGTAAAAGATTTAACCAAACGTTATTGCAGTGAATATATGACTTCAACTTTAAAATTAAGAGTTGACTCAGATTGGTGGGAAGAAACACTTGAATACTTTGCTCCTCCAAACTCAAAATTAAATAAAGACGAAGAAAAGAAATTGGAGGAAATTTTAGTCAACAAACCATTACCTAAAACAGTTGGAGAGTAAGTTCTTGCTTTGTTTTGTAATTTTGAAAAAAGTGTCATAACCAAAAATCAGAGAACCATTTATAGTTTGTCTATGCTAAGAACTCCTCCTGCCACAAAGGTTGTCTGGTGCTATGGAAACAAGAGACCAATGGACGAGATTTCCTTTCTCTCTGCGACTCGAGCCGAAACCACTCCAAAACAGTTATCTCGCACCCTTACTTAAAATAGTCATACATCGTTACCGTAGTCACCACCACAAGTCCATACGAATATCTGGGGGGATCTTATTTTGGACAAACTATAGTCCCATAGTACTTAAAATAGTGACATGACTAACTATTTAAAAAAAAAATAATAATTTAACAGAAAAGGGCTCAGAGTGTAAAAACTTGAAAAATCAGATTTTACATGCTTGATTTGCCGTTTTATTCATATGCATTGCAGCACCTCAGTTTTTTAGGCAGGCGAAATTAAAATACAAGGAATAGTTTTCTAAATCTCGCATACAAAAGAGCAAAATCAACTTCTTTTTTGTCTTCCATCTGCTAGAAAATAGATTTTTTTTTATGATTTAGTTTTTAACTTAATTTAAAGCAAAGATTCATAAAAAATTTTTCTACTTATCTGAAGTATTAAAGTTGATTTTAAGAGATTTCAACTTATTAAAGAGGACGACGACCTATACCCAATATGCCCTATTTCAACGTTGCCCATAGTTTCGCCTCTAGCCTCTAGTTGTGGCCTCTAGTTTCGCCTCTAGTTGTGGTTTTAAAAATGTCTGCTTTTAATTTTAATGCAATATTATTATGACAGGCAAATTTCAAATCATGCATTTGAATATGAACTTCTTTAAATACGTACTTGAATAATAACTGCTGTATATCTTGACGTAGAAGTCAGCTTTTTAAATCCTCAATGTTTGATGAAAATCAGTGGGTTGACTTGTAAATCAGTAATAAGGTCAGACATTTGCTGATCGTGAAATATTGAGGCATTATTAACAATGAGAAATATATCAATAACACTATCATATTACCCTTTTAAAAAACTTCTTTTCAATTTGTTATGTGCAATTTTGCTATATGTCATCTATATGTATTAAAATAAAGAATTTGTGTTCCCCGCATACCGAAAATTTTCTTACGCATATTAAAAACTAGGGGGTGGACTTAGGGTCGGTGAAGAGTATTACATTTTTCATTAAATCTGTAATGGTTAGCAATCATGAATTTGGATATCTAGCAGTACTGAGTCTGTTATTCAAAGAAATTTTTAACAACATCTAAAAATTTGATGGCAATAAGCAGATGGTTCCACCTACCAGTGAATATACAAACTGATGGGCACTCAATATCATACTGAATTAAAAGAAACATTAAATCATGTTCAATCAAATCGTATTCAGCTCTGTGGCAGAATTTTTTTGGGCTTTCTGCAACAAACTTCTCTATCACTAATATCTTTCTGCAAGATACTATTAATATGCATGTTATTAATTAAATTTTTTAATTTAAAGTAACAGAAGCGTTGTATTTGCAAAAAAAGCCTATTTGGATATAAGATTGTATATATTTTTATTTTAAATGAGTATGTAATATTTTATTCTAATATCATGAGCGATATTCTTCTATTTTGTAACAGGAAAACACAGTAATTATTTTTTTTTCGCGTTTCTTAAATCATCATCACCACATAAAAAATAATCAAAAATCGTTAAATCTGAGAAAGAAAAGCAATTTTTTTTATTTTTCCCAAATAAGAATTAAAAAAATCATGAGTATTTCTTCCCCTCTGATGCGTGAAAAAGGCATCTATTGAATATAGTTGTGGAGGAAAAAAATCTTTCAATCATTTCTACAGAAAGAAATTTTTTGCTTCAATATTCTTTATTTTTCATTCTTCTCAAAAAGAATTGAAAAATTTCTTTCCCTTCCAATGCGAGAAAGAAGCATCTTTTAAATATAGTTTTGTAGAGAAAAAAAATTCAAAAATTTTTGCAGAAAAGAAAACTTAAATTATTTACTTTCTAAAGGTAAATTCTTTCTGCAAGAACTCTTTAACATTTTGTGACAATGTCGCTGTGTCACCGCGATTCTGACACGGGGGTATTTAGTGTTAAATACTTAATAAAAAATACAGGTTCAAAGTCATAATTTGGCAACAAAAAAAAAGCAAAACGATGTACGTCAAGTCGATTGAGTTAGTTATTTTTCAACTTTTAAAGGACAATAAAGCTAATTGCCAGAGTTGGCCATTATTCTTTTTTAAAATCTTGTTTATACTCCATTTATCTTTTTTTTTTTTTTTTTAGGTTTAAAAATCATCCACTCTATGCTCTGAAAAGGCATCTTTTGAAATTTGAGGCAATCTATCCACCTGATGCAGCGCCTGTCGGTTTCCTACGAGAGGAGCCTGTCTATGCGAGAGATAATGTGTGCAAACTTCATTCACGTGAGACGTGGGTGAAAGAGGCTAGAGTAGTCCGTGCTGGTGAGGAACCATACAAGATTGTAAAAGCACGCCCAAAGTGGGATCGAGTAAGTTTCCTATATTGAAAAAAGATGGGGAGGTATAATCTTTAATAACAAAACATGCCTTACTCAAGCTTGCAGCGGTGCTAACTATTATGATTTATCAGTAATTATTGCATTTTGGTAGTCAATATAATTGCTTTATGGTTGAGTTATAAAGATTACGGTTTTTGAGAATTTTTGTAATAGTGACATTTCGATAGTTTTTCTTTTTTTTTTCCTTTATAACTACCAATTTCCATGTGGTTTGTAAAATCCCTATTACGATACATGAGTTACTAATTATGCATTTAAATAATCACTTTTTGATGCAATTTGTTTTTGACGATTACATCGTAAATCCAAGTTATTTTTCAATAATTTTCTTGGCAATGCATTCCCACATGGTTTCAAAAATTCCAATTTTTATGTGTATTTCAAATCATGCATTTTGACACACTTTATTTATGCTGATTACATCCTAAATTAAATTTTTTTTTTTCTTTTTGCTATTATTACTATGTTTTTTTCACGTGATTTTGACAATTTTGTTATTTTAACTACTACTATGGCTACTACTATTAAATATATTATAACATGCGCATTTTTAATCACGCATTCAAATAATAACTTTTTGATTCATTTCATTTGTGTGAATTTCATTGTAAGTATAAGTTATTTTTCCGTTGTTTTTTCTGCAGTTGGCGCCATTCACGTGGCATTTAGAATCCCCAATATTTAATTTAATGTTATAGTAAAATGATGAATTCAAAAAGTGGAGGAAGGCGTGAACTTTTAAACTGCTCGCTGTTTGTAATTTTGTTAATTTCATGAAGCTTAAAAAAAACATTTCCTATTTAAAACTCATGAAACCTCTAATAATTCAAGAAATAGGAATAATATCTGAAGTATAATTCCAAATGAATATTAAATCTTATTTTGTACTATAATGGTTTTGTTTTAATCTTTGCTTTTTGTTTAAACCCTATTAATGTTTTTTAATTAAAATATTTATTTCAAATTTATATTATTCATTAAAGTATACACGTATTCATATTTTACACTTTCATTTTATGATAAGCATTACACTTTTTTGTTGAAACATTTTTTTCTTTTACTCAGTATATTTATTTTTTGAAAAGTCAACAATTGATTTTTTTTTTAAATAGTATCAGTTTTTTCATTTTTAAATGAGTTCTAATAATTAAAAATATTTCATTTTCTGCAAATATGTTACATAGATTATTGATAAAAAAATTTTAGCTCTTGAAACACTATTGTTTTTATAAAATTATCATATTTGCTGCCAATATGACTAAATATGCGTGCTTCTTTCATTAGTCAAGCTGTTGTGCAAGTAACCCTTCACTCAGAAAGGTTGTGCACACCTACTCCAGCTTCTCAAGCTTATAAGAGAAAAAAAAAAATTTTTGACCAAATTTTTCTTCTCCGTTTACTGATACTTGAAAGTTAATATTTTTATTAAAAGGGGAAATTAAATTACAGATTGCTGGTGTAATGAGGACAGATTTACCTCTTGAAGTGTTTGGTTTTTGGCAGACAGACCCGTATGAACCACCCACTGCAGAGGGTGGGAAAGTGCCCAGAAATGAATATGGAAATGTTGAGCTGTTCAAACCTTGCATGCTACCGCACGGAACTGTACATCTACAAAGTAGGCTTTCTACATTTTAATAGCTTTATCATTCCTAAAATCTTCAGTATTGACTTTTTGTCATACTAGTTTTTATCCAAATTGTGAAGATTTTTACTTATTATTTCTTACTTACTTAAATATGTGTAATTACATTTTAATGTAGCCATTATTATTAATTTAAACTTTGTTTTTCTGAATATTGTTTAATTGAAACTAATCTTGAATTTTTTTGAAAATTATTTGAAACAGTGTTCATATGGGTCCTTAAAAAGTCTTTGGTTTATAAAATTGTTGCTAAGGTCCCTAAAAAGTGTTGAATTTTGATGTTTTTTTTTTCTCCTTCCTTTGCTGGCTTTCTGGTTTTTAACATCATTCTTATGTTGCCCCGCAAGAAGAATCTGCTATTAAAATGTTTAAATTCAGTGAGGTTTACTTTCTTTTTTTTTCTTCCATATTTGAGTACAACCCCTAGGTTAGAGGTCAGAAAATTTTACGGAGTATGTCAAATTTCATTTCAAAATACTTTGTCTCCTCTCATGCACAAAATTATTGAAACAAAATTTGGGTAATTGTTTTTTTTTTCTTTAATTGGCCAAATTTTATTTCAAAATACTTTGTCTCCTCTCATGCACAAAATTATTGAGAAACAAAATTTGGGTAATTGTTTTTTTTTTCCTTCAATTGGCAGCTCTACATTATAGAAAGTTAGTGAAGATATTGAGGATACTTCGCAAATTGAATATTAATCGCAATTATTTTGATATTTTATCGATTGCACGTATAATGGCATTGTTTCATTTAAAATAAATAACCCCATTTTTTTTTCTTGTTCATTTCCTGAAGGAAAAAAACTTACATAGTTTTTACTTATAGACTTACATAGTTTTTACTTACATATTTGTTTCTAAAAAAGGTTATAAACAGACTTTCAACATCTTGCATAAATAGTAATTTCACATATTTTTATTTATAATTATCTAATACATATTTATAATAGATTGCGATTTTCTACACCAAAATTTTGGAGTTTTGACAGCATTCGTCAAAAAAAGAGGTTTACTTTCGAAAGGAATAACGAACATCACTGATAATTTTGTATGTACTTTTATTTAAACTTACTTCGCATTTATAATAGTTAATAATCATTTTCTACACCAAAGTTTTAGGTTTTTGTCAATTGTTAAAAACTGGGTGAAAAAGGTATTTTGACATAAAGTGTAAAACCAGATAGAACTATCAACCCTACTATTTAGTCATACTAAATTCACTTGTTCTACACTTTACTTAAATAAAAATATTTTTCATGTCCCATTTCTCAAAATAACTTCTTTTCTCTTTACTATAGTTCCATGTTTGAATCGCATTGCAAAAAAGTTGGGTATTGACTGCAGCGCAGCTGTTGTTGGTTTTGATGGCCATAAAGGAAGCATTCATCCAGTGTATGTAGTTTCTCATAATTTATGTTGATATACATTATTTTATAACCATCCAATTTTTGGCTTTATGACTACTAATGTTCTACACCATAGCCTTGTCCCAATCCAGAAGACAAGGGAGCTCCTGGATCAATTATTGGGAGAAATTTGCCTTCTTGGAAAGCTTTCTGATAGAAATAACCCTCATTTGTGTTACATGGGGAGGAAAACCTCCCATGGTTAGCCAGATGCCAAGGGGACTCTAACCCATGATCAACATAACATATATTTTCATTTTATGTTACAGTAGACCGATTATCCGGGAGCAGTACTATCCGGATTTTAAATTTCCCAGTTTTCTAGATCGGCAAAAAAGTGTAATTTATTGATGTTTCATTGAACTCTTGATTAATAAATTCTATGAATATATTGAGTATTATTGCATGTGTGAGAAAAATACTGAGCAAATCTATAAAAATGAATATGTAGTATATTTTATCTGAAGCTGGGAAAGGGTACTGTTGAAAGTACTGTATTAATGGCATCTGAACATTAACTATTTATTTTATTCTCTGGTAGTTTCTCTTTATTTATTCAGGGTTTGAAAAATTCTAGATGACAAAATTTCATGATATGACTAATTTTTCGAAGTTTTATTTTTGATTGGCTTTTGAATCCAACCATTGATGTTTTTTCACATCACAAGATTCTACATTTTAATGTATAGTCGGGATTTGCATGAAAAGATATTCTTCTTCAGTCTTTTGACTAGTTTTTTCTTATATATGTTGCTGTGAATGGCTGAAATTGGTGGTTGTTGGCAATCACATAGTCGGTTGTGTAAATGTCCGAACTATGTACTAGGTCTAGTTAAGTGCCACTGCCCATTTTACATTTAACCGGCATGCCCTACATAATTATTTTTTTTTTTTAAGATTTAAGTGCCACTGTCCGGTATGCATTTAACCGGTACTCCTTATGCTGAGGTTTCTCCTAATCTATCCTCAGCTGATATTAAAGTATGGACGAATAAATTAATATCAAATATTTCAGGCATTCACTAAAGCGACTGTGTGATTTTTGACATTCGCAGTAACATTTATATATATGAAATAGTAACAGTAATCTTTGTTTTACTTTGAAAAGGTGCAGTTTTATTCCTCAAAAAGTGCCTTTTTGTTTCTGAAAAAGTACCTTTTTTAATAAATGCACCCTACCCCTTATTAAAAATTTAAAAAAGTGAACTCTGTGTAACGTATAAATTTATAAAATTTTAATTTTCTTTTCTTCGAAAATGTCTATTCTCATGCCTTGATATTTGATTTTATTAGATTTGATGGCTTTGTTGTCTGTGAAGAATTTGAAGATACCCTTATAGCTGCATGGGAGGAAGAGCAAGTGAATGCAAAAAAGCGTGAGGAAGAAGTAAGGAAATGGAAGGGGAAAAATTTGACTTTTTTATTTAACTTTACATATTTAGCTTCTAAAATAGCTCATAGTTTTTTCGAATTTTTCAAAACCTTAAATTAATATACAAGAATGGTAGAAATGATTCTAATGTTCAGCAGTATAAGTGCCATTTCATTAGAAATAATTCCTTTTGTGTTCATAAAACTCGCTTAAATATGTATTTCTTCATTTGGTAGACTTCTGGTGTCCTATCAATCCTACTTAACTTAGTAGGATTGAATTACTTTATCCTACTTGACAAATTCTACTTAACTTAAAGGGAATGTAAAAAAGGCTAAATAACTGTGAGGGGGAACTCTGTTTTTCATCTAAAAGTTTAGTTGCCGGAAAAAAGCATTAAATATCTGTTTTAAATTCACTTGAAAAAGTTGTAGAATTAGCTTGAGATACTTTCTCTCCCAAAAACTGCAGAATTCAACAACAAAGAAAGTTTTACAATTACCGACTGTCTGGAAAACATCCCTGAGGATGATCCGAAGACATGCCATTCGCAATTTTGATCCTCTGCAGAGGGGATGCTTTGGTAGCCTGATGACCTGAGCGCGGAGTCTAGCACTTTATGGTGGAACAGTTTAACACTGACTGATACCGCTCAAGCTTGGTCACTTCACAGGCTGATCAAAGTGGTCACCCATCCGCTTACTGACGGCAGGCTTACTGAGTGGTGCTTGACTTCAGTGTCTTTACGATCAGTCCACAGCAGGACTAGTACCAAAAAGAACGTGGCTACTGTAACTGGAAGACTAACTTCAATTTTACAGCCATTAAAATCATTGAACCAACTGTTGTATGTAAGAGTGAAAGATATTCATGTCACATCATAACATCTAAATGACTCTTGAAGCAGGACTCCCATGGGTCAGGGAAAACCTGGAATTGTCAGGGAATTTTGACTCTAAAAAACTGGGAAAGTTGGCTTGGCAAATTCCTACATCATACCTGGAAAATTACCAGTCGTCGAATTATCAGTAACAGTAATTGAAATTCAATTTAATTAATTCCAACATCTATTAAAATTATTTGTTGTAAAAAATCCACATTTTAGAGAAACTTTTCAATGTTTCCCTCCTCCTTCAATATTTTTTTGCTCACCAAATCTAATATTTAACATAAAAATCAAAGTTTTCTGATGAAAAATTGCAAGGTATAGATAAAATTAGGTCTAGATTTACATTGACATTTTCCTGGAAATGTCAGTGAGGTTTTTTTTTTTTTCTGGAACCCTGTTGAAGCCCAGCCAGAGCCAATTATCAAATGTAAGCAAATATATTTTTGGTTTTATTTATATAATAATAAATATTTATGGAGTAAAATAAATTTTAATCATTATTTTGAAAATAAATTCTAGTTTTTATTTTATAAAAATTCGGTACGAACTACTTATGTAATGTACTTAATTTTAAATTCTATAGAGCGAATAAAACAAAATGAAAATAATATATCCTTAGCAATTTCAGAAGAGAAACAACAGTTTTAAATCACAGCCTTGTCTGTCCCTGTTATATGCCTTTCTGTTTATCATTACTAGTTGGCTGCTCACAATTATTTGAAGTTCAGAATATGCTATGGCAAATATTTAGTTATTGTTTTGTTCGAAGGATGCCATTTTAGGATCCATACCCTCTTCAGATCCTGTTGACTGAAATCAGTTTTTAGAAGAAATCAGCAAACTGAATTTCACCAATTAATATCTCTTTTAAACTTTTTTTTTTAATTAAAATGGCTTTTTTTTTTCCTTTTATAAGTTAGCAAATATTTTCAGAACACATTTTAATGAAAAAATGGGATTAATGCTTCTGTTACACAATTATGCAAAAAATGAAGGTCTATAAACAATGTTAGTGTTTGCTTACACAAAATTTATACTATTGTTGTGTCTAAATTTGCTTTAGTTTTCATTTTACCCCCAATGTTTTGAAACGTTAATCAAAATTAATTTAAGGTTTTTTTTTAAAAAAAATTAATAATAGAAATTTTTAGAAATAGGACAACAAATAAGTAGAGAGATATTAATGGCTTCATGAAAAAATCATTGATTTATTAATCTGGTGTAAAAAGAGGTATTGAGTTTACTGTTATTTTTATCTTGATTGCTGTAAAAAATGAAAAATGTATGAAAATTTTTTAGAAATCATTGATTTAATATATGTGCCATTATCATGAAAAGTTACATTTTCAAGTAGTGAGTTATAAATTTCTGAAAATTATGGTAAGCAACATTATATTGTGTTAAGTGGTTAAAAATTATGTTCAGTCTTGAAATTTTTTCAGAGTGGCACTCCATGCAAACCCAATCATACCGTTGATCACGAAATTGTGAAGCATTAACCTCCTAGCACAACCAACCTAAACCTAACCAAAGACAGCCTGTTGTGGAAATGCTTTACTGCTGAAAATTTTCTATAATGCATTTTTCAAATTGTGTAAATCTCTAAATTGATAAAGACTGGGGTCAAATGCTAGCTGACAGTTAAGATTTTTTTAATGAGACTTATTTTAAGAACCAAAATCATTCACAAATTCATTTTTTTATTATATGTTAATCTTTTTAACCTGATATATGAATATTTCATGTTCTTTATTATATTCTATGTCATGACTTTTCAGCATTCCCCATTTTACAAATATTTGTAAATCTTCTTTGAAACCATTTATCTTGTTATATATATATTTTATTCACTTTTCGAACGTTACCTTTCTAGTAGTAGTTCTGTTTGCTTTCTCATGCTTTCAAGAAGTGATGGAATTTATTTTATGAACAACTGCCTGTTTTTCCTATCATTTGTGGTTATCTTTCTCCCATGATAATCTTCCTTATTTTATGTTATTTACAACTAATGAAAAAAAAACTTTATTATTATAGCATATTTATGTTTTTTTTTTATTTTAGAAAAGAGAAAAGCGAATTTATGGCAATTGGAAGAAATTAATAAAAGGTTTACTCATCAGAGAAAGAATTAAATTGAAGTACAACGTGAAATGAAATTGCATTTTCAAGCATTTTAACTACCTCTTTCATTAACATCGAAATATTTTTTTTCTGTTTCTTCATTTTATTCATTCAACTATTTCTTTGTATTCTACAAAATTTCCAACATCTGTGATATTGGGTGAAAAAAAAACTTTCATTTGTGTTCTTTTGTACATATCATTATTCAACATTTTAAAAATGTTTCATATGAATAGGGATTTAAAAAATTAAGTATAAATATCACTTAAGAAAATTTTCCTTGCAAATTCTCTTTTATTACTAATTTAAAAGTGTAAAAAAAGTGAGTGCAGACAAACCTAGAATAAGCCACGACATACTGAAAAGTAAAATTTACAAATGAAAATAAATTATGAGTTGATAACTTAAGATTATGAGAGGGAGAAGTTCTCTTCTAATAATTTGTTTGCATTTTAATATTTTGAAGTAATATTTTCAGACTTCATGACTTAACTCTAGGTTTGCCTGAACTTACCTTTTCTTCTGGTATGGTGTCCTCTTAAAATGCTAAAATAATAAATTTCTTTCCACGATTACTGAGGTGATATGCAATAAATGTAGACATATATAAACTGTAAAGAAAGTAAAATATTTGATACTTAGATTTTGCTCATCATTTCTTTGTTAGTGTTTTTATTTTTATTAATAATTTCTGATGAACTAGAAATTGAAAATCCCATTATTACCTATCCACTTTAGAGCTCGTTTACAATACATGATCATCAGCTCAATTTCAATCAATATAGTGAAACCTTTCGGGAGCAACCACTCACTGTTCCACAGTAAAATGATTGTTGATGGAGGTTGGTCATTCTTAGAAGTTACCTCCATTGAATTCAAAGGTACATGATATTTATCATATCTAGGGTCTAGATGCAGCAGAAGGTCAACTTAGCGAGCCCTAACAACAGTTTTTTTACAGCCTTTTTAATACTAAATCAACCAGTTCTAGATTTCCTCTGGAACCCTGTAAAATCAGGAATCACAATAAATAATCTCCAATTTATAAAGGGGGGGAGGACGTGACAAATAATAAAGGTGAGCCGAACTTTTGGGATCCTATTATTCAGACAATTGCTAGGCTTCTTAACTGAGTCGCAAGTCTTAGAAAATCCAATTAAGTCCCAATTTTTTTATTTATTTTTTTTTAGTTCTGCAAGTTAAATTATGAATATTTATTTTTCGAACTTTTGTTGAAATTCATTCCTCTAAAAGCTTTTTCTTTTCCTAAAGAATTCCTTAGGGCGCTGGGCCCATATCCAAGAGGTCGTGGGTTCGATCCTCGCCGGCCGAAGACTCCCTGTATAGTAAATGGTGACTGATGCACGTTAAATCTGTCGAGTCTCAAAGTCCTCCATGTTCCCACAACAAATCAATACCTCTGGGGGTACTGATCCAGGAGTTTCCTTGTCCTCTGGATTGGTTCAAAATTTCAAGATAAGTAGAATTGAACGCAAGTAGTCGTAAACCCATGAAATTGGGTCGGCTGTTCAACGACGGTTTTAAAATAAAATCTGTTAAGGGGGAAAAGGAAAAAGACACCATCCAAATTTATCAAAATCAATGCATTAATTCTCAATTTTCTTACAAATGAGCCCCAACAATGTGAAGGTGGTTGTTTAAAAATCAGCATAATTGTAAAAAAGTGGACTAAGCTTTGAATGAAGTGAGCAGTATTCTCAGTGAAATTTTGCATTCGAAAATAATACTCTCAAACAGTTAGGATCGTATATATATATATTTATTACTTTGCTAGCCTAAATAAAAATTCTTCAAAATGCATTAGGACAGAATGCATTATTTTCAAGTCTAGTTGCATGGATAAAAATAATCCACAAGTATTCTCTCCATAAATATATTCCAAGGACTATTTTTGATCCTTGGGCACAAAGTAAGAGCGCAGTAGTTTTACAAATAGAAATGTTGGATTTATTTCAGCCATAAAACATTAAAAATAGTACCAGAAAAGACATTTCATTCTTTTCTTGGTCCCGATTAAAATTTACAACTTTTTTAAAATAATTCTATCACAAAGATGCAAATATTGCTCAATATATAGACAAAATACCTCTTGCTACATCAGCTAACTTGCGAAGAAAAGTGTCTCCACAGTTATGTACTTTATTAAGTAAATCATAATGGCCACTATAACAAAATCTAGAATTAATCCAAAACAAATCAGGCTGAGATTAATAAAAAGTTTGGCTTTAAAATAAATCATACCAGCATCACATATTAGCAGTCAAATGAAGAAGGTCGCTGAGAATAATTTGTTTTAAACCCTTGTCGCAGAATTTTTATCAACCATACTTTTGTATTAAATTAGGTCAAAATGAGTAACATTTCAATAATTTATGGTTATAAAATACAGCATGAAACACTGTTGTCCTTTTCTACATTAAACGTAAAATCTTCCAAACAATAATTTTTTGAATTTGCAGCTATTTAGATCTAGGAAAGTTATTTATCATTGAAATAAATTTTTTTAATTTACAAAATCAACTTCTGATAAATTTTTGAATATGAATGAAAGAAAACATTTCAAGCTACTTTTTTTTTGTATTTTAGTACAAACATAATTACGATAATCTAAGAGATTTTTAGCGACAATTAGACTTTTTTTATAATTATATATATTTGCTACCCATCTGCGTCAAAGGATTAATAAAGGGTGAATAATCTAAATGAACATTGTTATAATTTTTGAGAACGTTAACAAATAATATCCATTTGAATATAAAGACAGCAAATGAAATTAAAATTTACACACATTCTTAATTAAAATGCAACTTCATTAGCTGCCCTTATCTGTTGGGTAAATAATACAAATACGAAACAAACATTTTCTTATTTTATAAGTTTAGCAGAAAATACATTTTTTCAATCACATTGATGAGTTTTTATAAAACGTTAAAATTTGCAGTAAAAATAAAGTGCAAAACTAGATATATGTAAAATCCCAAAAAATAAAAATTATTTACATTTCAGCATCATTATGCTGCATCATTAAAAGGTATCACATGACTGTCACTCTCTAATGTTGTAAAGCTTCATTAGCGTCCCATGACCTGTTTTTAATACTTTAGATTCTGGTTTACTGGCATTTATTTAAGGATTTTTTATTTTTTTTTTAGAAAATTTACTAAAATTTAGAGAATTTTCTACTATATACAAAAAACCAGGAGATTTTTTTATTAAACCAGTAGAAACTGGCAAAATCCAGCTGTCTACTGGAAAATCCAATAGAATTGGCAGCTATGCAAATATATGACACATATTTTTTTTAATTAAATACTAACTTTTAAACTTTTTTATTAGTCACAAAATTTCCCTCATTATTTTCTAAAAAAGAAAAGAAAAAATCACTAAAAGTTTGGGAATGAATAGAGTACAAAAAGGTTGATTTGGAAATTTTATAGAATATCAGAAATGAATAACCCAAAATACAAATATTTGTATTTTGCAGATAATCTTGTAACCTTTCAATATTGCACCTCCCCCTTCTTATTATTAATAATAACCATGAAGCAGGGATTTTTGTATCCCCTCTCTCTCAGAAAACTAAGAATACATAAATAAAATAACTCCTTTTCAAAAATAAACTAAATTTTTTTGTTACAAAAATTTGTATCATGCCATTCGTTATATGGGAACTGCGGTTCTATAAGCAAATTTTACAGAATTCAAGTCACGGCTAAAAAAATTAGTAACATCAAAAGAAAAAAATAATAAATGCAAAACATGTAAACAAGTTTAAACATTATCACACATTCTAAACATAAAAACAACAAAATATATTAATATAAGAATAAAACATATTTACATATATAAACTATATTTACATTTTTCTAACAGCAACTAGAGATTCAGCTGCGCTGAAAATTTTCAGCGAAAAGAAAGACCCCGCACACAAAAAGAAAAAGCACATAAAAGTACTTACTACAAAACGATTCACATTTCCTGAGAAAGTACATTAAATTTTAAATTTTTCACAAAGAAAATTAGCATAGTATGGAAGACAAAATAAAAATAAGCTTTAAAAAAAAAAACATTTTAAATATTAAATTGTATTGACACAACCATCTATTAGTAAAACGAATATTAATTACATAGAAATATTATTAACTTGAGACAATTTTATTATTTGCTCTTGTAAGCTTGGTCAACAACAGAAAATATAACTTATATAACAATGTTTGCAAACACATACAATAAAAAATCACTAATGATAAGTTACCATAAATTATTGATCATACAAGTATTTTCGTTAAATAATAGTACAAAAAAGGGTAAAAAATTTTGAATGAACCATAAAAAATTTTTATTACACAATCTTGTTCCTGTTTACGAAACAGTTAAATGTTAAACATAAATCAACTAGTAAATAAAAAATTTATAAGAATAAAAAAGCATTGCACATTGGTTAACAATGACTAGGATAATAAATTTTTGCTATATATATGGGTGCCATTATAAAAAAAAAATTTCAAGACAACTTGTTTTTTAACCAAATAATGTAGTCTAGTGTTATGTTAACCGGAATTTTTAGAAATGGCATACTTTAAAATCCACCATTTATTTTTTTTATTTGTAAGGTAAAAAAATAAAATTTAATTTTTAAAAATGAGAAAGACATTAATTGACATAATTTAGTCCATTAATTTTTCTCAAGACTGATTCAACCAGAGTGACACCCATGTATACATATATGTTATTATTAATCAGATAATTTTTAGCTATAGATTAAAAAAATGCACAACTTTTAAGCATTTAAAAAAAGCACAACAAAAACAATTTACAACAAAGAAATATCTTTTCATTTTAATTGCAAGTATGAAGTTGAGAGCTTGCACAAAATCCTGTCCTAGATGGATCATATTATGCAACATTTCTTAACAATGGCAGTAATGAATGACAATTATTAATTTTAAAATGTGGAAAGTATTGTTCTGAAATTTAAGAGAAGTAACAAAATGTTTTGGTCCCTTAACACTTGATGATGGTGAGCGTATGTAATATAAACATGATGCAAATATATAGATTTTTTTTCATATATATGATTTATATATATTTTTCAGTTCACAACAATAGGATGAAAAAACAGATGCTCAGGCTGTTATCTAGGGGAACAGTAATAAAAACAGGGTTGCCACTCAAATTTGGAAAAAATAAATTCTTGTGTTTTCCCTGTATATATTATACACAATATATTCAGAGGGAAAACACAATCACTGTGCTCTTGTATGGGCTATATTGGGCTAATTATACTAGCAATAATTGCTGAAAAAACATAAGAAACAGCTGCACATACTGAAAACAAGTAATACTATAGTAAATAAACTAGCTTAATATAGCTGAAATATCATCCTTAAATATCCCATAGATTGCACTTTGAGTGATTACCATTTTTTAAAAGACAAAAATAAGAAACAAAATTCCCTGTTATTTTAGATGATTTTTAAAATTTCCTGGACTTTCCAGGTTTTCCCTGGGGTGAGGCAACCCTGACGAAAAACAATAACAAGACTTTAAAATGTAACAACTACATTAATAACAAAATAATTAATAATAAAAATGTATAGTTGCACAGTGAAAATATCCATTATACTTGTGTGAATGTCTTATAATAAAATACTTCTTGTTATTTTTCTGCATTTTTTTCTATATGAAAAATCAAATGCATGAAATTGTATTCTTTATTTATAATAAGAAATAAGTGGTGGAAATTACAAATTAATGATATAATGATCAAATTCTATCCATTATAACGACGTAAACAAATTCCTAGAGCTATTATAACTTCATTAATATTCCTCTATTGATACATTAAGAAAAACAGTAAGTTATGGTTGTCCAACTAAATTTGCCCAAAATGGAAAAAAAAAAAAAAAAAACTTTTTTGGATATCAGTAAGAAATTTTGCTCTAAGTATATAATAACTGATTACAATTTATTATTAAAACTTATAAGAACTTTAGAAATCAAAGCTTCCTAATAAATTTTTAAAATGCAAAATTTTCTATTATGCTAATTAACAACTTAATTAGTGAACAATTAACAAAGAGCAAATTGTAACACTTTGATTTGTCCTTTTGCTTACGGAGCTCAGTACTATAAAGCCATTCTTGTTCGCTCATTGTATCAGCCATAATAAGCAAAAAGTTAAACATGAATTCTAAGTTGTGTAATAATTTAGATTGTAACTTTTTTAAAGCGATGCATAAATTTAAAAATAAAAAACATCAAAGCATTTTTACTTATTTTAATATTTGTATTCTATTTGTAAATATAAAATAACTTTTATTTTCAAAATTCCCCTATCAAATCTTTTAAATTAACTATCACAAGATTGATTTCTTTCTTAAGCAGGGTATAGCTTTTGTAAACTCTGATATCTACTAATACCTACAAAATTTAAAAATATACATATAAGTTACAATAACAAAAGTAATTCAATTTCATATCTATAGCTGAATTTAATAAATTTAAACACCCTTCTAGTGGATAAATTATTATGCTGTTACAGTTAAAATTTTTAAATGCTTTTGAAATCGCCACTTTAAAATTGTAGATCAAAACAATGTAGATCTTTTCTTTCAAGTTCAACATTCTAGGTAATAAAATGAAGAGAGAAAAATAGTTCATTAATTTTTTTTTTTTTTTTTGCATCAAACATTTATTTATTTTATATATATGACACTAATAAAATTATTGAAACTGTTAAAAAATGTTTCAGTTTAGCAGAAAAAGAAATAATAATGTACCCAATATAAAATAAACCTATCAAAACGAGCAAATTTAAATAGAAAGGAATGTAATTTTTATGAAATGTATGAAAAATCAACCATGTTATATATTATTTTTAAACAAACATTATTAGTTTAACATCGAGTAATAATATAAAGTACTACTAATACTAAATAATAACATTGAATTTTTTGAAAGCTTAAAGTAGATCTCTTTTTCTTTCTTTTTTTTGTTTATGATATAAATTTAAATCAAATTAGAATGGGAAAAAAGTACTACAATCTTAAATAGTAAAATAATAATGATAATAAATATTTTATCAAAATGAACAAAAAATTAAAAATGTCTCAGAAATATAAATGCTTAAGCTAGATTACAATATTATTTTTATGATATGAAACATAAAAATATGTTACCTAATAACAGTAATAGACACAAAATGATACATGTTAAACATCATTTTAAGAAAATTCATTATAATTTCATGGATATTTGATACAGCTACTTACTAAATAAGCAGACAGGCTTTAAGTTGTCATTGCAATTTAATAAGTAGATATGAAAATAGACAGAAAAAAAAATCAAAATTTAAAAGTATTTTAGAAATGCACAAGACAAAAAAAAAAAAAAACATTAAAAACATCTCAAAAATTCTGTCAAAAAAATGCAGGATGATTTCAAGATTTTTTATATCAAAGTTTAAAAAGAGTAAACAAGTTGAGTTTAAAAAAAAATTTATAATTGGATAAGGTGTGGCATTTCAAAAGAAAATAACTGTTAACTTTCTTCAAATTCATATTAAATTCCAAGACAATATTGTTATTTTTTGTTTTAGTTCAATTGCTAACAGATTCAACATAATTCGCTGGGTAAAGTCCTACACGACCATTCTTGCGTCCTTTGCACCAACCTTGCTCATCTTCATCTTCTAGCTTGTCAAACACCTCTCCTAATTTAAAAAAATTCATCATTTTTTAGAATAAAATTACATCATAATTCAACTTAATTATTGAGTATTTTCTTCCTTAATAAAAGAAAACTCTTAAGATCAGTTTAGATGTGTAAAGCAAGTTTCTTTTAAAAATAAAAATGTATACTCAAAATTTTAAAACTTTCAGCAGTTTTGTTGATAATTTTATTGTGAGCAATTTTTCTGAAAATATTTTGTAAACAAATTAAATCTCTTATTCTAGACCATTTGTCTACTTTATTATTCAGACAGTTATGTATGTTGTCAAAAGTTCATTTTTTAAATTAAAACTGAGTTTCTTCAACTAATCAATAGATGTAAGTATTAAATGTTTGAATCTTTACTTAGTTATTTCATAAAACATTGTTTATTCCACTTGTTAAAGCAAAAATAAAATTGTTTGGCACTTTTATATTCTCTTTACATCAATATAGATTATAACTTTATCTAAAAACATTTTTAAAAACCAATTGAAGTGTTTGATATACAAACTGGCTCATTAGAAATTTATTTTAAAAATTAAAAGCAAATTTTCAAGACATGCAAAGAAATTTTCAGAGACACATCCATATATTGTTAGAATAATTTCATATAGTTAGAATAATTTCAAAATAAAATTTAAAAAGAAAAAAAATTTAAAAAATAGCAAATAAATGAGTTTAAATCTACAAGGCCTCTGGTCTTATCTAAAATAATGCTTATCTAAAATAATGCTATTATGAAAGTCTACTGTATGTCATTTTAATATGGTTTCATATGTAATAGTATCCAGAAATTTGAAAAGGGGCAAATTAAGATTAAATTTGTAAGCCATTTAACAGGGTGCGTAGCCAGATTTTTCAACAAAAAATAAGCACCTTTTAAGTACTTTTTAAGCACTCAAAAAGAAAAAATTTTTGAATCACTTTCCAAGAAAAAAAAATCATAATTATGATCTGTGCAGTAATAAAAAAAATTTTTTTTCTATTGTTTCAAGCTCTTAATTTATAAACAAAAAATCACTAAAATTCAAAAACATTTTCAAAAACTTTACATAAATCATAATAAAATAACTAGTTTCTGATAAATATTGCTGAGAAAAATTTTATTTTAGAATCGTCGTTGAACAGCCGACCCAATTTCATGCGTTTATGACTACTAATGTTCAACTCCGTAGACTTGTAATCTTGAACCCATTCCAGAAGANAAAAAAGCACCTTTAAAAGCTTTTAAAAACGAAATCCCCCAAAAAGCACCTTTAAATACTTTTTACAAACGCTACGCACCCTGAAAAAAGCACCTTTTAAGTACTTTTTCAGCACTTAAAAAGAAAAAATTTTTAATCACCTTCCAAGGAAAAAAAATCATAATTATGATCTGTGCAGTAATAAAAATTATTTTTTTCTACTGCTTCAAGCTCTTAATTTATAAACAAAAAATCAATAAAATTCAAAAACATTTTCAAAAACTTTACATAATCATAATAAAATAACTAGTTTCTGATAAATATTGCAGAGAAAATTTTTATTTTATAATCATCGTTGAACAGCCGACCCAATTTCATGGGTTTACGACTACTAATGTTCAACTTGGTAGCCTTGTAATTTTGAGCCCAATCCAGAAGACAAGGGAACTCCTGGATAGAGTATTGGGAGAAATTTGCCTTCGTGGAGGACTTTTAGATGGAGCTAACCCACATTTGCGTTACATGGAGAGGAAGATCACGAGTACCTCACACGGTTAGCCTGATTGCAAGGGGACTCTAACCCATGGTCTGTCTACCGCTGAGGATATTTCATGTCAGCATTGTGGTCGGTGCAAGCCGGATGCGGAATTCATATAGACTGAGATTCGAACCCCGTTCGCCTCACTAGGAGGCGAATGCTCTACCCCCTCAGCCGGCTCTGGAGAGAAAATTGTAAAAATCATGCATTCTTTTTTTGTAATTTATGACGACAATCGACATGACTAAGAAAAAAAAATCTTTTTAAAAGGTAGAAAATTAAGCACCTTTAAGGGCTTTTAAAAAATTTAAATAAAAAATAAGCACCTTTAAGCACTTTTTAAAAACACTACACACCCTGTTTTAATAGAGTTAATTACTTATTAAAAAAAACTAAATTGTATCAATAATTATCAATAAATATTCAATTCACATGCAAATATAAATGCAAAATGATGATGATCTGACCTGCTTTGAAAGATAACTCATCAGCTTCTGCACCATCATAGTCATAGAGTGCTTTGACAGGTGTACCAGGTTCACCATTATCAACTAAAGCATCATTACTACCATCCTCCCAATCTTCTTGATCATCATCAAATGGATTATTATCTTGTTGACCATTTCTGCAAAAATATTTCAAAATTACTAGGATATGAGGAAAGTATTGTCACTTTAAAACTGCCCTTTCTATCTTTTGTCCAACATTAGTTATAAGATAAAAATTTTCACAAAGTAATGAGAAGGGTAAGAGATTTGCAGTTCTCATTGCACATGAATTATGCCAATAGTTATTGAATGCTTAATTTTTATTTAACATATTATAATTTTTTTAAGATATGTAGCCAAATCCTTCAACAAAAAATAAGCACCTTTTAAGTACCTTTTAAGCACTCAAAAAAATATTTTTAAGCACTATATTCGGTAACAAAATGCAAAATAATTTTCATTTCGAAACAATTCAAATGATCATGCTAAAATAACTAGATTCTGACAAAGAACTCATTTCTTAATTATATTAACCATTATAAAATGATCGAGAGAGTGTTCGTTTCGATATCAAGAGCGTGAAAAATGAAGCATGAAATTGAGAATCTCTTGCAAAATGCAGCAGAGTTGCACATAAGAAGGCAATAATCTCACCGAACCCAGCTCAGTAGACGCACATGCGGACTTGCAAGCATTTCATCAAACATGTAAAGTGATTGGCGTTTTCATACGCTTTGTGGACAGACAATACACCGAAATCGATTGTGGTTGAATGTTGAATAAAACATTGTGAAAATCAAGCTTCTGCATAATACATGGCGACAATCGACAGGACAAAGAAAAAAATCTCAGGGAAAATTGAGCACTATTTAAAAACACCTTTAAAGGCTTTTAAAAACAGAAATCAAAAATAAGCACCTTTAAGCATTTTTTAAAAATGCTATGCACCATGCTATTTTGATAATTGTTACTAGGAATTAAGTTTAAAAATCAGAATTAGAAGTGTACTTTTTGAAAACAGATTCTGTTTCTTGACCCTCAAACTATGATGAAAAAATTAAAAATGACAGTTAAATTAAAAAGTAATTCATGTTTTTTCTTTCTTCTTTTTTGTTGCGAGAGAAGAGGAATAGTTTTCAATATGAGGTCTAAGAATTTTCTGATATAATATAAAATTTAAATACTATAGGAAATCCTTTTGCAACAAAATCTGTTTAAACAACAAAATGATCAACAGCAAATTTTAGTTATAAGGCATTAATATTAGTGTCTGCTTACTTACGTGCTAAGGCCAGAATTTCTATTTGACACATTTTTCTCCTCGTTGCCATTCTTGGTTGCATTATTGTGTATATTATTTAATGTTATTCCTCCATCATTCTTTTTTTCTTTCTTTGACACATTATGAATATTAGCATCATATTCCTAAAAATATAGCAATTAAACTTAATAAATAATAATTTGAGCAAGGTAAATTACTTTGTACAATAACCTATAAATTAAATATACATTATTTCTTTGATATTCTAATGCTTATTGAATCTAAGAAATTGTGTCATGTCCACCGACAATTCCTAGTTATGTTTTCAAAAATATTAGAAAATTATACATATCAAAGCGATTGATATGGTACAAAAGCTGACCCTTTTTCCATATTACTAACTTCAAAATGGTGAAATTCACATGCATTTAATGCATAAGGTTATCCTTGAATTCATAATTGATGAAAAACAATTTTTTGATCAAATAAAAAACTAGTACAAAGATAAATAAGCAGAAAAAAATATAACTTATGCATCAAAATAAGATGAATAATTAGGAATAAGGAATCAATTTTTGATCACAAATAATAAATAAGGGTCTGTCTTCAGATGTTTTGATTCTGATTAATTCTCAATGTTCAAAAACAGTAAGCAGAAGTTAACTAAATTTCTTTAAAAGCCATTTCTTACCATTTAAAATTGAATGTAGTCATGTTAAATAACAAAAATAACTTGCAATATTGCAAAAACTTAGTGAATAACTTTTGAGACAAAAAAGACATTTTAAAAATGATATAAAAAAAAACCCCTCAAATGTGTGAATGAAAGAATGAGGTGGTAAATTAGGTAGGTTTTGAAAAACAAACAAAAGGATATATAGAAGTAAGATTTGCCTGTTTTCTCTTAAATGAATCTTTAAAAAATCATTCAGTGAGCATTGGTTTTAGTGCTCAGATTATATGAAATGGAATTGCCTTAATGTCAGGATTATGATCACTCCCACGCACCTGAATGACCCCTGACATGAAGGTCAGTGGGTGTCGAACAAGGGAAGTGTCGTTTCCCTATTTGAGAGGAAGGAAAGAGTTAGATGAGAAGGCCTAGATGAAGAAGAAGGGAGCAATACGGGGCTCCAGAAATAAAAGCTGGACTTATGTTTTTATTTTATTTAAATATTTGTAAATATTGAACACAATAATCCCGAATCTAAAATAAATAAATACATAATTATATAAGTCCTCGTCAGCATTCTAAGTGTTTCAGAACATGAACGGCAAATAAAACCGTTCCACAAAAAAATCAATAACAATTCCACAGTGCTACAAATGTGTCATTTTTCTTGTATTTGTATTCATACTAAAAATTATGTTAATTTTTTTAAACTAAGCTAAATTAGGGGGGACAATAATTAATTGCATAGATAATTCTAATTTCAACTAAAAGATTAATTGCATATTTCAGAAATACTTCTGTACTATTTTCGATTTTCAAAAAGAAACAGCCATGTTTTTCAGAAGTAAACAGATTTCAAAAAGAAACTTCTTCTGTTTTTCTAAATATTGCTTTTCCCCCTTTATATACAGGGTACCAGCCACTGGGAGACCGGGTTACATTATGCCTATGGGAGCTAGTCTTCTCCTAAACATGTTCTTTACTTTTATATTTGATATTTTCGAGTGTAATAACACTTGCATGAATCTTATAACATTTGATTTGCATCTGTAGTTATTCATATAGCAAAGTAATATATAAAAAAAAATTTAAAATAGAACGACAAAACAAAATACAAACTGTTATTTAAAAACACAAAGAAAATTGCACAAAGATAAAATAAATACAATGTAAAAAAAAAAAAAAATACAATAAAAAAATAAAATTTAAAATACTATTTCATGATTATTAATGTATTATTAGCTCAATAATTAGATGTTATTCATAGAACCCAGAATGAAGTCAAATATAATAGTCTATCACCATTAGTTATGTGGTTATAATTGTTATAGCATTAATACAGCTCATGCAATAGATGCAGATATATAGAGGCTAGCAAAATTTTAGCAATTGTAAGAGATAACACATGAACAATATAAAAAGCAAAGCAAATATTCTGAGCAATAATAATTAAATTTACAGGTAAATCTTCGCCAATTCTGTGCTGATTGACAAGCATAATACCACTCTCGGGAAAGGGAGCTTTCTTGCTTTTTCCTACTATGTCACGGAACTCTTCAGAATATTCCTGCAGCATAGCAAAAGCATAGCACAAAACATTAATTTATAAAACAAATAAGCACAACATTGTTTTTGAAACATATGAATCTACCCTACACGTAATTAATAAATTACAAAAAAAAAAAATTTAAACCATTATATATTTATATTTCAATGAACATGAAGTAGACACTAAACCCTAATTTCTAAATCACGTGAATTTGAATCACGGTGTGTGATTTTAACTTAAATCATATTAATATGAATTTGACATGTGTTTTATGAATTACATTAATCCAGATCATCATATGCGATTCACAATTAAAAGAACTACTATTTTCCTTGTAAATTGAAAATATTATACCCAGATAATAAAAGTGTGACTTGTAAATAGCATCTATGTATACCACAATATTCCATTATTGTATAATTTGCAGAAAGTCAAAGCAATATTAAAAAAAAACTGCAGATTTATGCAAACAGAATTAAATTAATAAAATATTCATTAACTACTGAAATAAATCACATGCATTATAGTGGCAAATTAGAAATATATTTAATAAATTTTTTACTAAGCAAAAGCTATTTTAAACATATTTCAGAGAGAGTGCCCGTTCTATTTCATAATGCATGAAGAAGAAAAAAACCTAAAAAGCGCAGAGTGCATGACAAACAAATTAAATTTTGAAAAGAAATTTATTATTGCCTGTTTCGAAATTAAATTACATATAGCTAGTAACACAAGATGATAGATATAATTATCTATAAAATGACAACATTCTTGTGTTAATATAAAACAGATTAATTATACACCATATGTAATAAAAGTATAAAACAGATTAATAAAGAAAACAATCTAATTAAAACTCTCGCAAAATACACTAAGTCAATTATAGTATACCATATATATTCAGAGATTATTATTAGATTAATCTAATGTTGCCATTAAAATCATAAAAAGCTTTTTTTTGTGAATGTGTTTTTTCAGTTATTAAGAAATATTAGTTTTAATGACTTAAATTTTACTTCATTTTAAAACTATTTAATTAAATTGATTTTTACATTTTTCTAGAAGAGAAAAATCATCACATAGCCATCATGATTATGACACACAAAATTGTACTTCATTATACTCCTTAGCAAGTTGCCCTTAACAAATGAAATGAGAGATAAGGAATTCTTACTTTTATTTCACTGTGCAAGAAAATTATCTGCAAGGAATAATATTTATAATTCTTTCATCAGTTTCTTTAAATATGAATAAAAAGATGCATATTTGTTAAGATTTTTATTAATCCTGATTACTTGTTAAGAATATTCAATAAGTTTTGTATTCCTCATTTCACACAATTTAAGAAAGAAAGCAAAAAGAAGGCTAAGCAACGTCGTTATAAGAGTTGGCGATGCTGATATACGTTTGCACTGGGATCTTGGCATCCATTTGACTTACACTTAGATACAAACAGGCTTTCTCCATTTTTTCTTAACTTGCAACAGAGTACATAAAGGTACTAAAGCAGACATTAAAATTAATTAAACAGGAGAACACATTTATTAACACACGAAACAATTTTAAAATAGATTAAAGAATATTGTGCTTGGAAAAAATAAATTGTGATTCTAAAATAACCTTAAAATAGATTCAAAAAGACATGGCAAAGAGNCTTAATTAATAGTTAGCACTAATTAATTAGCATATTTGAAGTCACCCCCAGGAACCATTAAGATTGACACTTAGTTCGTGAAAATCCGATCATTAGAACGAAAGTTATTCAGGGTGATTCGTTTTTTTTTTTTGCGGACTGTACATAAATGTACTAAAGCAGACATTAAAATTAATTAAACAGGAGAACACATTTATTAACACATGAAACAATTTTAAAATAGATTAAAGAGTATTGTGCTTGGAAAAAATAAATTGCGATTCTAAAATAACCTTAAAATAGATTCAAAAAGACATGGCAACGAGGAAATGCAATATAATACAAGATAAAATAATAAAAATAATTCTTTATTAGAAATTTGGAAATATTGAATTTTTTTTAACATAGAATAGGTTAATTGTTTGATAAGTTTTCTAATGTAGTTAAGGTTAAAAAAAAGTTAATTTAAAATATATAAATATATATAAATATATACATAAATATATATACTACATATAACATAAATTACTACCTCGAAAATAGGCCAATTCATTGCCATTCCAACACCATGATTATTTGACCACCATTTTAAATCTTTATTAGAATCTGCATTTTGAACAGAGTGCCTAAATTCTTCATAGATTTGTGGAAGCCTAAAAAAATCAATGTTATACTTTTTTAGACAATTTTATATAGAGATGTAAAAAATTGAATTTTCTAAAGTTGACTCAAATCATTATCAAAACAAGATTTTGTTTTGATCGTGTGGGGTTTATGTTGAAATAATCAGGATTAAAAATTTAATTATGTTTGATGCACAATAAAGTACAATCACTGAATTTAAATATCTTGAAAAAATTGTGCCAACGAAGAATAATGAACGTTGAAATTTATCACCGATTAATGCTGACAAACAGATGCTGGTCCAGTTTAAGAAATAAGTAGTATTATGTCCAAATCTAAATATAGTATTTATATCGATATATACGATTTTACATACATAAAACAAATAGCATGCACAGCTTAATACTTTAGTGGCGAACTGATATTTAACCCCGTAATAATTTTTAAAAAAAGAAGAAGAAAAACTTTTATATTTAATGTACAAGTGCTTGATATATTTGACTAAAGTTAATGTAACTATCCTTTTAAACAAAATTTTTTTTAACAAAAACTATTTTCGGCTATTAAATTTCAAATAAGCAGCTTACATTTAGTTACAAAAAAATAGAAGGAATATTTAATTTTCATTCCCATTTTTAAAATCTGTTCTTTTCTAGTTATGAAGACAGTGAATTCTGACTAATTTTTGTAGCTGATCTCTAGATATTTAAACTTGTGCAAGGCAATTTCACAATGTTTTGAACTACTACACCTATTTTCAGATGTTTATTTTATAAGGCCTACAGTTAATTCTTTTTTAACAATTAAAATGGTCACTTTCCCAATCATCAAACTAAGATTATTTTACACTTTTCTAGTTTTTTCCTTTTATGATAACTTCTTTTCAATAAAAAAAAAGAATTAAAATTCAGTATCAGCCATATATTTTTAAACAATTTTTTTTAAAATTGCTTTGCCCATTTATCTTAATTTTGTCCAGATTGTTTTTCACAGAATATTAATACTTTTCATGTTTTTCACAGAATATTTATACTTTTCATGAACCTATCACATTTAAAAATCAGTTCAGTTAACATTCAAACCCATGCATGTTATAAAGTGCATACATTGTTAAGTATAAAACTAAAATAGTACTAAACTCAGTGGTGTGACAGCCCTTAGAGGGCCAAGGCCTGTTGTGCCCGCCCATCTCAGTTTTCTTGACCTTGGGATCTGGGGTGCAGGAGCAGATGTTCCAAATTGGTGGTCAGCCAAATTGGTGGAACCCCCAACATTTAGTCCCTAAGCATGCTTGGTACTCATTTTATCGACCCACTGAAGGGATGAAAGGCCGAGTCAACCTTGCCCGGTCCAAGGATCAAACCTAGGACCTGCGGCACGAGTGTGTGAAGCGCTACCACTCATCCACCAGGTGTTAAGTATATACACTTAAAATAACATTTCAAAAAAAGTAACAATAGAAAACTAACAAAATAAAGCCCTTTTACAAATGATTGATTATAAACAATTATCATTATGAAGAAAATTAACTTACTCTGGATCTGTAGATACATTAAGGCAACTATTAATTCCAAAAAGCATTTCTTTAAAAAAATCAAGTCTTTTCTCTTCAAACTCTTGACACTTGTCAAAGACTACAGTCATATCTTCCATATACTTAGCATTATAGTCATTTATTTCCCTGAGGCCTTGCTCGTACCTTTCTTTTGTTTTTTGAACCTCATCTTTACATTTAGCCACACGGTCTTGCAATTTCTTCACCTACAAATAATAACAGTCTTCTGAATAATGCTCCTGACAACTTTGAAATATAAAAATTAAAAAAATAAATAAATAATCATGGGCTACAAATAATAATCAAAATAATAATCAATAATAATCAAAAGGCTACACACTTAAAAATTATTAAAACAAAAGTTGATCCCAACTTTCTTGCAGCACATAAATTAATCCACCCTTTAAAACTACCCCTAACAACAATTTTACCTTATCCCCAGTTGGGTTCAAAATTGGCTCAATATGGACCCTATAAGAACATGCACCCGAGGGAGCAATATTGGGGTATCTAGATTTTTTAATATTGGTCTTAGAATGGCCTTTATAGGGACAATATAGAAGCTACACTGGCTAATATAAAACCTACATTGGCTAAATAATGGATATAAAATATCGGGTGAATCTGACAATTCCATAGAATGGCCTTTATAGGGACAATATAGAAGCTACACTGGCTAATATAAAACCTACATTGGCTAAATAATGGATATAAAATATCGGGTGAATCTGACAATTCCATATAAGACCGGTATTGGTTGTAAAGTGGCTGTAAAATATCGGGTGAATGGGAAAGTTTTATATAGGGCCAATATCTGAAAAATAAAGGCCCTTTGATCCCTTACAGAGCCAAGATTCATGAATATTGGCCCAATGAGGGCCCAAGTAATTTTGCTGATAGGGACATTTCTCAAACTGAATTCTTTATTTCTTGCTACACATTTTCAAATGCGACAGATAATAAGTTAGATATCTATCAAGTGCAAAATGTATGTGTGTCACAGAAAATACTAAAATAAAGCACAATTTAAATACCAAACAAGAGAATTATAGAGAGAGAGAGACACTACTACCTGATCAGGTGACAGTGAAGTATCACTAGAAGCATTTCTTTCTTGATTTATGGCAGATCTTTCATTTTTACAAGCTGAATGATAATCCGATTTGCATTTATTAACCTTTTGCAGTAACTTTGCCCATGGCTTTTGAGCCTATTTAAAAGATATGATAGAAAAAAGTGAAAAAATTTTGCCATAGACAGCTATTTCTTCTTTCTTTTTAAAAAATCAATTATAGTAATGTATATATGTTATAATATTATCAAGTTTTTTGTTTTTTTTTTTACTTCTAAGTTAAAAAAGAAAATTATTTGCTTTCACCACCACATAAAAGATACCCTAAAGCCTGACACACTCTTTATTTATTTGATTTATATACAAAATACAACCTTTTAAAAAGTTATTTTTCTTGTTTTATGCTAAATTATGAAGTTTGTAAATTAAGTAAAATTCTAATATGTATAATTTTATTGTTTGGACATTTTCTTTAGTTATAGTATTATTGGGACATATACTTTAGTTCAGCCCTCATACAATATTAAACTATTGATTTAAAGTGTCAAATTCTTAAATTCACTTTTTATATAATTCCAAGAAATATTAACTTTAATCCAATGTTCTGCACTTTTTCTTTATCAAATAAACTTTAATAATATTTCACATAATGTTTTTAAAAATTTAAATACGGAATTTTTAAGAGATTTAATATAAATTTTATAACATATGCATACAAAGTAAATTAAAGATCAGTTTAACGTAAACATTATATTATAAAGTTGACATTTTTTGTGAACAGCTTGCCAGCTTTCAAAAACTTGTCTTTTAGTTTACAATCTTATGTAACATTCGTAGTTACTATGTAACATTTCGTTATAAGACACTTCCAAAATTAACTAAAACAGCTTCTCAAACAGACTAAGCCCAGTCAGAAACACCAGTACAAAAATATTAATATGGCAAAATTAATGGTCACCAGAAGGTGCCTAAATATCAAAAAAGGTTCATTAAAATTTGTTAATCAGCATTTTTTTGGACAAACATGCAAGGAAATTTGATCATGATATATCAACATTTCTTATTCCATATAATTAAAATTTTATTTTATATAATTATAAAATAAGTTTTTACTACACTCATTTATATAAAATATTGAAGGACAAAAGTTATGTTATTAGTTTAAGAAATTCATGAAATAAATTTTTTTTCCAATTTTAATTTTTTAGTTTTTACATATTTAAAAATGATATACAAAATAATATTTAAAAAAATTTTTAAGCTAAGAATCTATGATTAAAAGTTAGACAATAATAATAAAAATGACAAAATAAAAACAAAACATCAGATTTACAATTTACCATTTTTAAAACAAGCACACATGTACATTACATATGTATTATGAAAGACTTCGTACATAAACATAAAAAGCAATATAAAACAAATAAAATCCCAAAATAATTCTTTAAGTAGATCACATATGAGAGTCATAAAACATTTTTGAAGGTGATAAAAATACCTTCTTGAATGCTTCATCCATTTCTTTTCGTTCTTTAAGAGTTATCATTGATTTATGATAATTCTCTTTCTGCCATTGTTTAATTTGAGTGACGACATCATTATTCAAGCGATCTTTTACACGGAGATGCATGTCGCAACGCCTCTCTGCCTCAACTAAAGAAGATTTCCATGCAGCTTCAGTCGTACCATATTCAGGACCTACTCAATTTCAATAACATTTAACTTGATTGTAAATAAATATATAATTAAGCATTCAAGAGAAAATACATATTAATGAAAGATTTATTAGCTTAATTTCAGTTCAAAGCCTACACAAGATCTTTTAAAAGTACATAAATTGCAGAAGAATGTGTAAATGAAAAAAATTTTAATATATAATTAACGGAAATATATAATTAATCATTCAAGAGAAAATAAATATTAAAGAAGGATTTATAAACTTAATATTTCAGTTCAAAGCCTAAACAATATCTTAAAAGTACATAAATTGCAAAAGAAAGTGCAAATGGAGAAATGTTAAAAACTTTTTTAAAATAGTCTGAAAAAAAAAAGACTAATTTTAATATTATGATTTTGAAATGTGAAATTGTAGCACTTAAACATTTTTTAAGGAAAGTATCTTCCTAAAAAAAATAGGTCAAGGATATATTTGAAACAAATTATAAAAGTAACTGAAAATATTCCATATTATTTGTTTGTTTTTTTAACCCATAAAAGCACAAGTTGCAATTTTTCAATATTTTGTATTTTACATATCATAAAATCAACTTAAATATATAAAGTTAAAAATAGTTAAATAAAGTAAGTTAAAAAGTTTAAATAAAGTAAGTTAAAAATAAAACATGAAATTTACTTTAAGTAAAAAAAAGTTGAAAAACTCTTTAAATCTTTCGAATACAATGTAAAAATTAAAAAAGGAAGAAAAAAATAATTGGAATTTGAATTTATATACGATTTTCAAAGACTCTTAGAAATATGAATACTAAAACATTTGCAGAATACAAATTAATTTGAAGAAAAATTTTTTTTAAAAAACTTACTTTTTTATTTTATTTTTAACAATGCTGAATACAACAATATATATTTTCGAATAACCAGACACCAACATTAAAAAAGAAATTTCAATTCAATCCTAATTAATCATAGAAAATATTTTTAGGAATAATTGCTGTACATGTAACAATAAGTTTAAAAAAAATATAGTTTTTTTCTTCTTTTTGTTTTCAAAGCAGTTTTAATTTTTCACTTTTGAATTTGATATTCCCATTCCCACTCACTGATATATCTCCTCTTAGCATACAACATACACACAGTTTACAAAATAAAATTGAAAATGTTGCAAACAATATTAACTCAGCACAATCAAATAAAATAACTTATTTCTGACTTTTAATGGTGAGCTTATAAAAGCTTTTATTAAATAAATTGTGAATTTTGGAAATTACATAAGGGCTGTAAAATAATTATTCAAATATTAGTAATAAGAATTAACATTAATTTTACTTTAGAGCAATTCTATCATTTATGAATGTCATATTTGTTTTAATATAATGGAAAAACTAACTACTGCAATAAAATTATAATTTTTTGCAGGACAGTACACTTATGACTGAAGACAAAATAAAACTTTCTCTGCATTACATGAAAAGCACACATAAAGACATTTTTTTTTTAAAATTTTAGCACAATTTTTTTTTTTTTTGTTGAAGGAAAAAGTTTGAACTTCATAAAAATGAGTAGAAAAAATATTGTATTAATTTAATTATACTTTAATGTTTGGATTATGTTAAAACTGTTTTTAAAAAGAACATCAGAGGCCAAATATTTAAAATTTTAACTTCTCCTATTATTATTAATTTCTTTTAGATCTCAGTGTGCAGTGTCAGTTTACATAAAAGAAGCTTACAGATTTATATATAACAAATAACAAAATAACCTGGTAATCTAGTATAAAACAGTAAGAACAGTCACAACCCATTAATATATTCATAATATATATAGAATATTAAAAAATTTTTAAATACTCCTTTTTTATATTTCATTCATGAAATATATCGTTTGCAACTTTTTCTTGTGTAATAAATATTATACATTTTTAATTAGCTAAGAAATAGCTTAATACAATTCGAAATTTCACATGCGTCATGACTGTCACAATTCTTTGTCTGTCACACTGGTAAATATTTCTTGGAAAAGAGATTTTCTTCAAATTTGATAATTTTATTATTTCATGTCATAAAATTAAGTCTCTTCTTTTTTTTCTTTGTTCATCTAAAATTTCTTACTCATAATTATGAACCATTTTAAAGCAAGCTCGTCATATTGCTCTGTCAGAGCATTTTTTTTATTAATGAAAAAAAATTGTGCTGCTATGCACTTTTCTAGGTACATACAGATGAGAATGTACTAACATCACATATGAAAATTTAATGACATCTCTTGAAGAGATATGTGTTTTAACGCAAAGTTACAGTTAACATATATTAGTTCACAGTTAATTATAGTTGATGCCACATTTTTCACCCAAGGAAAAAATATTTTGCAATATCTTTTACTGACAAGTGTATCAGTTACTACAAAGTAAAATGTGTGAAGATACCATTTTATTCAATATATAAAATTATGCAAAAAAACTGACCAGGGCTTGAAATTAACGGTGGTCCGATGGTCCGTGACCACTAAATTCGGAGTCGGACCAGAATAAAATAATAAAAAGTGGTCCGCCGGACTACCATCCGCCGCAGCCGATCTCCGTTAATCTATTCTCGCAGCCGATCTATTCTCGATCTTACGAAACTTAAACGATCTTACTTAAAACTATTTTAGAGCTTATTCACAATTTTTTTTTAAAATTTTTTATACAAAATTAATATTAATTAAAAAAATGCGATTTAAATCAAAAATTTATGATTTTTTTAAAAAAAATCATGATTTTTTCAATCAAAAATTTAAATTTTTTTATTTTTTATTTGCAGCTAATAGGAACGCGTAGACGGACCAGTAAAGTTTTGTGCGGACTAGTAAAATGTTTTAGTTACTGGTCCATAGGACCAGTAATTTTTTTTTTAAATTTCTACCCCTGCTGATGTCATGTCTGTCACACATGGTACCCGTTTTCAGTACCCTGTAGAAGGCCATAGAAGAAGTCACTCAGAGTCTAGATATGATTATGACTGTGAGACCATGTGGTTATAACTGTGTTGATTGTTTTGATTAAAGCTATAGTGCGGTTTTGAGGAGAACTCCTCCAGATTGAAAGTCTGGGGATGTCTGCTGCTATGGTAACAAGTGCGAGCACATTTCTAATGGGGGTGAAATGGAGGAAAGGTGTCGATTGGTTTCGACTTATGCTAAGATTAAGACAAAACTATTCACCCCTATTCAAAGTGACCTTTCCTCGTAACCATAGTACCCGCCACGAAGCGAGACGGGTGTCTGGAGGAGTCCTCCTGAAAGCCGCACTATATTCCGATTTACAAATATAACTTCTTAATTACATTTAATATTTAATTAAAAGGGTAAATTAAACATTCAAAATTTAAAAAAAAAACATACACATTTTTTGGGTGGATATTTAAAAAAAAGAAATCCACTTGGGTTGGGTTTTTTTCACATTTTATTAAAAAGCTTCAATTCAAAAACATTTTTTTCTTTTCTTTAAATTAAATTGTAGGACATAAATGAAAAATCAATGACAAAACTTTTTCACACAAAGAGAATGAGTTCTCTTACCTTTCTCAATTAATTCATTCCATTTTTTGGACCAGTTCTTTAAACTCTTAGCAAAAACTTTCTCAATTTCACACCTTTCCTGGATTAATGTTATCATATCATTGGAAAGTTTAAACCCATCCTCAATTCTCTTGGTGGTCTTTTTGTAGTTGCCAGGTTCCCAGAAACTATCACTCCCAGCTATAAGCATACCATCATCACTATGATGCGACATGCTGGACAGACTCCTATTGACATTAAAATATAATTATTTAAAGAAGTAAGCAGCAAAATAACCTATAAACAATGTTATAATAACTTTTTTAACTGTTTAATTTCTTTCATTATCTTTATTACTTTGTCTTTTGGTTACTTCATATGAAAGTTGTTTACTATTTAAACATACAAGTTATATTGTCAAATAAATAAATATGGTGGCACCGGGTGCCTAGCCAGATTTTTCAACAAGAAATAAGCACCTTTTAAGTACTTTTAAAATTTTCTACTGTTTAAAGTTTTTTTTAATTTATGAACATAAAATCAATAAAATTTAAAAATATTGTCACAAACTTCACATAATCATGATAAAATAACTACACTGGTGGACAAAATTAAGACAACATCAGAATTGGACACAGCTTCAATGGGCTAATGTTCTCTTCACCGATGAGTCCAGATTCAGTCTACAACCTGATTCTGAACGGCTATTGATATGGAGGGAACCTGGAACCCGATACCATCCCAGCAACATTATCGAAAGAGACAATTATGCTAGTGGAGGACTCATGGTTTGGGCAGGGATCATGCAAGATAACCGCACACCGCTCCATGTGTTTGACAATGGTTCCGTGAATGTCCAGAGGTACAGGCAGGAGGTCCTAGAGCCCTATGTGCGTCTTTTCAGGGGCACTGTTGGTCCCGAGTTCATTTTCATGGAAGACAATGTGCGACCACATAGGGCTCTCATGGTTGGAAAGCGAGGATATTCAAGGAATGGATTGGCCAGCCAAATCCTCTGACCTGAATCCTATTGAACATGCTTGGGATGCTCTTGGGAGAGTTATTGCGATGTGCCAACCTCCCCCCAGAACCATTCTGGAGTTAAAAATTGCTCTGGTGGAAGAATGGGAGGGTCTTCCACAAGTCCTCCTTAACTCCCTTATTAACAGCATGCATACTCGTCGTGCATGCTGTCTGTCTGTCAGGAGTGACCATACAACATACTAGAGGCAACACAGACTGTACAAGCCTCACTTTTATTGTCATCTTTTATCCTTAAGTTCAGACTACATTGGATTTATTGGCAATAGGTCTTGCCAGTGAATGGCACTTTCATTTTTGTTTTACATACTTTATTATCATGGAATAAGCTATATCCATACCAAATTTCATTTATTTATATTCAGTATTTTTTGAGATATTTGGGAAAATGTCTTCCATCTCCTAATTTTGTCCACCAGTGTAGTTTCTGATAAATATTGCAGAGAAAATTGCGAAAAACATGAATTTTTGTAATTCAGAACGACAATTGACACAGCAAGGCAAAGAAAAAATTTCTTTTTTAAAAGATATAAATTAACCTCTTTTTACAAGCCCCAAATAAAAAAAGCATATTTAAGAGCTTTTAAAAAATGTAAATAAAAAATAAACAACTTTAAGCACTTTTAAAAGCGCTGCGCACCCTGGTATATAACAAGAATACAACAGAAAAGTTTTACCTCAATAATTCTAAATCTGCAGATGAAAAAAAAAAAAAGAATTTTCACAGCTTTTCTCATAAAAATTTGTTGCAAGCTTGGAAATGGATACGGATTATCGAAGAATTACTTTAAAATTAAAAAACTTTTTTTTTCTTTGGAGTCCTTACTCCTACTAGATTCAAGTCAACTCAAATTGACTATATTTTGAAAGATCAGCTTTTAGTGGAGTCCCCTCATACTACTAACATGTCACTAATTCTTTTTTTCAATTATAATTTATTTTTAAAAATATTTTTAACAAAATAAGTTAAAAAATTTTAAAAAATTATATTATTTTATAAAAAAATAATTTAAATTAAAAAAATTTTGAAAAAAAGAACCTTACTTTACCCAGTTTTGAAAAAATTACATTACTCTTAAAATTTATACTTTTAGATCCTTTCAGTTTTAAAAAGAAATTTTTTTATAAGGTTTAAATTATAAGGTTTTTTTTAATAAGAAATTTTTTTCCTATGAAAATAAGCTTAGTTTTTCACTTCTTTTAAATTAAGTTTTCTATATTACAGTACAGAACCCGTTATCCGGAAATCAGAAAACCGGAAAACCAAAAAACCGGAATGAAATTCGATAAATTTTCTCGCCATTTTTTAAAAAAAATTTTCTTTCCTCATAAGATTTTACGATTTTTCTTTCTTTTTTTAAAGATGTTTACCTTACCATCATTTTGGAAATAATCATTAGTGTATTACTTCATCGTTTTTTCTTATTTTTAAGATTATTTGCAAATATTTTTTTTTTTTAGTTGGGTTTAACAATAAAAAAAACGGCTTTTTGTAGCGATTCAGAAAACTGGAAAAATCAGTTATCCGGAATAGCGATGGTCCCGACCGTTCCGGATAATCGGTTCCCTACTGTACTTTCTAGTCTTTTTATCATGTAACCTCAGCATTGTTAATTATGGATTACATTACAGAGATTATTTAAAATCTTAAAAAAAGGGAAAAAATTACAGAGTAATTGAAAAAGGAAAAGAAAAAAATTATTTTTTAAAAAAAAATTTATAAAAATCTGTAAAAAAGATATCTTTTTATCAGCTCACACTATTATATTTGCAAAAAGGAGTGCTTTCTAATATTGCAACAATATAGCCAAAGCAGAATATATCATTACAATAGTGTGAGGAGCACTCAAAAAAATTTGAAACAAAATAGAGTATAGAATAAGAATAGGACACGTTAAGTAATAAATACCACGTAAAAAACCGAAAATAAAATTTTAAGAACATATATATATTGATATTGTTGGTGATAAAAAGAAAATCAAGAATAAAACTTGTAAAAATCAAAAAGTTGAATGAAAGTTTAATATCTGCTTTGATGAAAAATGTAATTGGTTAAAGGAACAAGAATCAAAAAAATTAAATTCTGTGTTATGTTATTAAAAAATGCTAACAAGACAAAGTTCTACTAAATATTAAAACAAATAATTTAGGTGAAATATACAAATTACATTTTTAAATGAAAAATTTACAATATTTATCATATTTTTAAATTATAATAGAGCAAATGGTGTTAGCCAAGAAAAAAATAAATCATGAAATTATAAAAAAAAAAATTGTTATTCCAGTTAATAGTAATTTATGTCCAAAAAGACATTATAAAACAAGGGGGGGGGAAAGAGTTCTGGTTTCAAATCATTAATTAAAAAAATCTGGTCTCACTTAAGCTGAAAATGTAAGTGATAAAAAGTTTTTTTGTCAAAGTAAAAATTTTTCAAATTTCTAGATAAAATCTTCTTAAAAAATTTTATTTAAAATTTTTTCCTATATTTATTTATTAATTATTTGATCTATAGGAAAAAAAATTTTAAATTTAAAAATGCATGAAGAACTTTAAGTATTTATTAAAGTCCTTAAGTGAAGAGACAGTCATTAAATTTTTCCATGCAATTACAGTTTAAAACTGCCAAAAAATTTTTAGTGCTTGTCATTGATTTGTATACTTAAATGTATTGTTTTGATGTAAAAATTATGAAATGAATTTTTCCTGATTGTCTAGTCAAAAGTTAAGCTTAAGAGAAAATCACTCCAATATTTTGTGTATGATATAGTAACAGGGCTGGAAGTCCAGATTATAAAAATTAAGGACTAAATTGCCTCCAAATTTAAGGATGCTGAGTCTCTAATGGGTGCAATTTTTAGGATACCAACATGGATTCACAGATATACAAATTGCAGGGTGCGTAGCCAAATTATTCAACAAAAAATAAGCACTCAAAAATATTTTCAAGCACTTTAAAAAAATATCATAATTAGGCAGGGTGGGAAAGTTTTTGACAATTGACGGTTTTATCTTGCATTAACCGTCATGTCAAAAATACCTTTTGGCTTTGTTTTTGACAATTGTCGAAAATCATGAAATTTTGAATCACGTAAAACGAATGGCATTTTCAATACGCTACAGACTGACAATACGTCGAAATAGATTGGGGTTGAATTAATTATGAAAACGTAGAATAGAACAATGTGAACTGTGCCTTTTTGCTAAATTCGAAGCAAAAATCAACATAGTAAAGGAAAAAATTTATTTCGAAAAAGGGAAAATTACACACTTTTTAAAAGCACCCAATGAAAAAAGCACTTTTAAGGGCTTTTAAAAAACAAAAATTGAAAATAAGCACCTTTAAGTACTTTTTAAAAATGCTACGCACCCTAAATTGATAGTAGTTTCAGTAGCTCCAGCACTTAAACAAAAAAATAAACATTTTTAAGAAAACTCGGATTTTTTTTTTTTAAAGTCATACAAAAAATTCTGGTTGTTTATAAATATAAATTGTATAAATACGGAAAATTATTAAGTAGTAGCAAAATGCAAGGATTCTCTCTTGAAAATCAGCAGAGTATGATATAGTGATGGAGGTAGAAAAGAAAGATAAGAGCTTTTTATGTCTTTATCTCACAAGCAATGTTCTATAGCATCAAGTCAAGGGTAATTAATTGTCTCTAACAATGGAAGTAAACTAATACCATACTTGAAGAGCTATGAAGACTTAAGTGTTCATTTTGTTTTATACTTTTAGGGGTCTGTCCAGATATTGTGCGAAAGGTCCTGTTCTTGCAAAAAAAATATTCATAATTTGTGAATATAAAATACGCGTTAAGTCACATTCTTTCAACCAGGGTCCTGTTTTTGTGAATTTGTGCAAATAGGGTCCTGTTATTGCAAAAATTTCTAAAAACCTTTTCAAGAAATTTTTATATTGTAAATAGATAAAAGATTCTGCTCAACAATTGTTGCTACTAAATTAGAGATGCAACATACAAATATTTGGTATTTAGCCTATACTGCTCAACACAGAATATTCATTTCGGACAGATAATCGAAACAAAAATCACTCACATTTTTAATAATTTCAATTGACATATTTTAAATAACACAACTTAGTAATGTATCACTTTTAATGTGTTACGCATTAGGTAAACTTAAACAATTCTTAAAATTAGAATATTTTATTTAAAAAATTGCCAGAAATTAATTTTTATTTGCATAATATTCCATGAATTAATTCTATGAATAAATATAAATTGATAAATTAATTATTTACAAAGAAAATATGATTTAATATTAATAAGAATGCGCACACAAAGTTAGTAAAAGTAGAAATATTTTCTTAGAATACTATATTTGAAATTTAAACTTAGGGAAACTTTCTTTCCCACCCCAGGGAAGAGTTTATTCCAGCAACAAAACAATAATGAAGATAAACAAATTTGTGAAGGGTCAGATTAAAAGATAAATTATTTTGTGAAGGGTCTGTTTTTTATGAAAAGATATTTTGTGAAGGGACCATTTCATGACATGGAACAAAATTTCTGAATCTAAAATTTCTTAATTTCTGCTTTAGATAAAATAAAAAAAACTATTTATTCTTGCTGTTAACTTCCAAGAAAAATTTAGAAAATACAAAAATTTCTAGATATTTATTGAAATTTTTATAGTTAAGGATACCTTTTTTTTTTCAGGAATTGAAGGACAACTTTGAGCCCGGAATAACCATCAAGAAAAATTGCATCTTGAAAAAAATTAGGACAAGTATATTCATTAATATAACATGAATAATTAATTGATTGTGCTCATTTATCTTGCTGCTGACCTAATTATAAAACATATATTGTAGATTTACACACAATCAATAGAACAGTAATTCTGATAATAAATTTTTCCAAATGTAAAATAAGGCATTACAGGAAAACTAAATATTTAAATTGTAAGTAAATGGACAGGGAGACAAAATTTGCTATTAAATTAAATCGATGTATTCTCTCAGAAGAGGATAATTAAATAATATCAAAAGAATTTTTAACAAAGAATATAAAATTAATGATTACAGGAAGAAAAAATTTCACCAAGAACACAATAAATGCAAGATTACATTAGTATACCTATTAATTTCACACTATAAGAATATCTTGAAACTATTAAGAATTGCACAAAAAATCTCCAATTTGTATAGTTTTATAACTTAAATCCCTAGTAATATCACTTTATTAATTGAGTAACTAGCACAACTTCCAAAAGTTTCCATACAATGACATCACAAAATTTTAAATACAGACGAATTTAGGTTTCTTTTTCTCAAGATGAAAATTTTCAAATCTAGAAAAAGGATCATTTAAATTAACAGAGAAGGATGGAACATTTTTGTCATTAATATGGTAAATCGCAGTACGAAACCCAAAACGAACAAACAAAAATTATCAAACATGTTTTCGTTCAGAGGTATTATATTTGACATAATATGTCAAATAAAAATGCTCAAAGTGAGATTAAACATCTTTATTTTCTATTTAAGAGCGGTTGAATAGAGACCAAGAATTGCAGATATCACTTAATTTAAGAAAGAGGAAATAGTTTATTAGCTTAGAATAGTTGAGACTACATTACGTCACTGTCATATTGTTTACAACAATAATTCAAACGATTTTTTTTTTATCTTCAGTCAAAACAAATCTTACCTCAGTAATCCAAAAAAAATTCAGATTTTAAGTAGCCTTATCATTCATCCTTGTTTGTTTTCTTTTGCTAAAGTAAAAAGTTAAAAACCACTAGCGTGTGAAAATCAGCATCAACACTTGATTTTGGTGCTGGATGTATTCGACCGATGAAAAATTTAGCTGCCGCCAGCGTAAAGAGCCACAGAAGTGACGTGTCAAGGCTACAAGAATGTAAAAATTCCGTGACGTGAGCACACCTTCGGGCAAATAAAAGACTTTTCGCTATTACACCTGCAGCATTCGTATGTGTATTGGGTTGTTCGGAAAAGTAGTATGATGATGAATTCTTTTCTAGGGGGAAGGGGAGAGAAGATGGACTTCACTTTCACTAACGCCATCTATTAGGAAGCCATATCAAATTCTCGGATTAACAAATTCAAAGCGCGATGTAGCTGTTGATTCCGAAATGTGATGGAAGGCTGCCTTGCCAAGGTCGTGTTTTATGGATACAACTTTTAACAAAAGGATGAATGAAATCGAAGTTTTATACATCCTTGTGAGGGAGTTTTTTTGTTGTAATTATAACCAACATTTTTAACTATCAATAACCTTTCTGATGATTTTTTTTCATAACTTTTAGTGAATTCTCACAATCAAATAGAGATCGTAATAAAATCGAATCGTAAGAAAATCGAAACTTAAAGAGTTCTCTTTCCTTTCGACCGAACTGGGTAGATACGGAGAAGAAAAAAAATATGACGATCGACTGTCTATAAATTATGTCCCACTTGGAGAAGGCACAAGTGTTACGATTATTCCGAAATTCACAAATTTATTGTAAAGTAAAAGAAAAGAAAAATCTTTTAAAAATAGTAAAACTGTTTCCCTCTTCACTTTCAAAGAACATCTTTTCAATTTGTTTAACGTACCCGCACGCAAAATTCTTTTTTTTACTTTTTTCTGTCGTACAATTGAGAGCAAGGTTAGATTTTAATCAATCAGTGAGTGCAATTCACTGTACCAGAATATCTTCTCCCCATAGACAACGAAAGCTTTATTTGAAATACGTCTAATTCATGTGCTCATGAATCCCCTATTAATATGAAAAAATGGTTGCCATGAGCACCCTCACGTGATAGTAACTCTATTTAAATATATAATAGAGAAAAAGAAATCACATATAACTTCGATGTTCTGTGAAGTATTGAATTTAAAATAAAATAAATTGAAAGCATTGTGATATCTGACCCTAGTATTTAGAATTAAATCGGACGAATGGTTCTCGAGAAATCAAATTTAAAATATATTACTTTTTTTAAAAATTCGATAACACAGAAACTATTCGATTGATTGCCTTCGAGCTTTATATTTTGCCATTTAAAATTACATTTCTTTAAAATTAATTGTATACCTTACAATTATTAAATTAACCGACAAAAATAAATTTTAAAAAAATAATTGGTAAAAAAAAATTTTTATAAGGAATTTTCTTTGGATAAACGCATTCTAAAATTGCGTGTAAAAATTTTTTTAATTCGATTGAAAACTTAACTCACCTAACAATTCTTCATATTTTAAAGGTAGAAAATCCCAATCGTCGAAAAAAAAGTATATTTATTATGAAAAAGTACGTTTTTGCGTCTGATGTTGTTACTTAAAATATCGTCAGCACTAATTAGATTGGTTGTTCTTTTTATTTTCCGCAACAATGCAGAGTGAGTAATTAAAAAATAAACAGAAAAAACTTTTGATCTAAAATTATCGGAATTTCAAGTACTAGGAATCAATCTTAGTAGTTCCAGAGGGTGATTTTTGTCGAAATAAGTTCTGTTTTCGAACAGGCAAACTCTGAAACTTAACTATAGTCAAGAAGAAGAACCTTCCATTTTGGCGCGTTCTCGACGTCTCTGCAGTTGAGTTTGTTTTACCATGCCAACTCTCTAATGTTCTTTTGTTTTTTAACTAGCTTTATTTATTGATTACAGTTTAAAAAAATAATTTTAGTCCAGCCTTTTATAAAGATTAGTACTTTAACTAGCAATAAAAATTTACTCCAATAATAGCCCAATTCTTTTAACGTTTCAATAATCTTATTTGCTCTCTGGGTAGAACTGCAAGTTGTCATTGAAGCGAGTCTATGTAGGGCCCACAAAAGCTGTAGTGCAGCAGAGGAAGATGATAACTACATCCAAGGCTGAAAAAAGATTTTACGGGTCCCAGGATAAATTTTGTAGCGGGATTCTTCCTCAATACTGAAAAAGCTTTATTTTCATATTTTGTAGAATTTCTGAAGATTCTTTGTAAAAAAATTTAGTTTTCATATAGATATTATAATTTTAAATAGCATTTATATAGGTTTTAGTTATAAAAATGTACTCTGAGAAAGCGTTCCGTCTTTTTTATTATTTCTTATTTATTTATTTTTTATTTGTTCATTTATTTATTTTTGCCAGATTATGATTTTGGCCCGTTTGTGCCTGCTAGGCGAAGCATTTTTTTGTTTAAAAAAAGTAAAAAGTGGTAGCAGAAGTGATTTGTTGAAAAAATAAGACATTTTTGTCCACCATGATGCAATAAAAATATATGAAAGAACAATGCCTTTTTAAAGCTAGAGTGGTATGAAACAGAAAGAAATATCCACTTGGTTTTGATTTAGATGGATTTCAACTTTGTCAGAATGTCCCGACTCTGCAAATATTGGTGTGTGTTTTCCAAATTCCGTCCTTTATAGATTAAAAGATTAATTATTTAAGCAAACAAATATGATGCGTAATATTAATTCTAATTTACAATGGTAACTCTAATTGACAAGTCTTTCCTTTTTCTTAATTTGCCTGTATGGAGGACTCTTTGATGGAACTAACCCGCATTTCGTTACATGGAGAGGAAAAGCACGAAAATTTCCCACAGTTAGCCTGACTGAAAAAGGACTCTAGCTCATGATCCGTCTACCACAGAGGATATTTTACGTCAGCACTGTGGTCTGTGCCAGCCGGGTGCGGAATTCGAATCCTAGCCATCACTGGGATTCGAACCTAGATTACCTCGTTGGGAGGTGATTGTTCGATCCCCTGAGCCAACACGGCTCTGATTAATATTTTATTTTATTTTATAACCGTCGTTGAACAGCCGACCTAATTTTTGGGTTTACGACTACTAATGTTCAACTCCGTAGCCTTGTAATTTTAAACCAATCCAGAAGACAAGGAAACTCTTGGATCAGTACCCCCAGAGCTATTAATTTGTTATGGGAACATGGAGAACTTTGTGACTCGACAGATTTAACGTGCATCAGTCACCATTTGCTACACGTGGAATCATCGGTCGGCGGGGATCGAACCCACTATCTCTTGGACATGGGCCCATTGCCCTACCAACCAGGCTATCCCGGCCCTGATTAATAATTTCTAATATCCAAGAAATATTTATTTAATTAAAGTGTTTTAAATGAGGTTAATTTCGTTTCGTAAATTTTAAAGTAAATTATTTTAGGCCTATTAAATTTTTTGACGGCTCTTGCCTCTTCCTTTTTCTTTGCTCTATGATGATGGGGACCAAAACATCTTTTTCATTTCCCCCGCCCCCAAAAAAATAATTACAAGCAGTACATGTCCTTGTAACTTTAATAAAATGCAATTTTTAAATATAAAGGAAAGTAGGTTATAAGTTTTTCCACCCTACTATTTTGTAAAAATTAGATTTTTTTTCCCTTCCAATAAGTGACGTTAAAAATTCAAAATGTGATTTTTTTTTTTTTTTAATCTTTTAAAAAGCATGTAATTTTAGGTTTGTTCAGAAATTTTTCAGACATTTTCTCGAATTGTTGTCGCGTGGGCTTCATTCTGAAAGGAATCACTTGATGAAGGGGGCCTTGAATTGAGTCAACCAATTCGGAGGAAATTAAAGTTAATGACTCTAGAATGAATTAAATAACCGCTCTCTCTCTTGCTCTGAATACGAAAAGAGTTGATATTCGTCTGGAAAGAAACAACTTTACTGTCTAACAGTGTACCCCAGGTTTTGCGTTGTACTACAGTAAGCAAAAGAAGACTAAATATTTTTTTTGTTTTAATTTAATGCTAGGAGTACTGCTTGCTAAGTTCCTATCGTTAAACATTTGATCTCAATAATGCTTTTTAATTTCTGCTATCGATTAATTATATTACAAAATTTATTAACACTTACTTTTTCTGAAGAAACAAACCTTTTAATTTCTCTTACAGATTTGAATTTTTGTCCAACAAAATAGGATGCTTAAAGATAATTTTGATGGAAGAGATAGGTTTGTGCAGAGAGAGGTCGAATGAGAAAGCCTACAGCTAGTCGGAAATTAAGTATAAATTTTACCTGACAATCCAAATTATGAAATATATACAATGTGTCAGTTATTTTAAGAGCAATTTAACTAGTTGGAAAGTGGCCGAAATTCGGATTGAAGACTAATTCCTATTTATGTTAATATGGTTCTAAAATCTGCATGTAGTGATCAGCAAAAAATTAAAATTTAAACCAATACAGAGCTCCTTTTAAAATGTAAGCACTCCAGCTAGTCGGACAATAGTTGAAATTTCGATTGACTATAAATTTTTTGTCGTGATAATATGGCGATAAATTTTGCTTGTGACGAAGCTACCGGGAAATAAATCTTATTTAATTTGTCACCTCGCTTGGATCTCTAGATGAGGTTTAAGCACTCTAGTTTTTTGGAAAGTAGACGAAATTTTTACAAAAGGTTTCTTACTAGAGGCAGCGATCTTTGCGATGACTTGATGGAGAAGCTCTTATAATGTGAGCACTCTAGTTAATCAGAAAATTTTCGGAAATTTGATGGACGATAAGTTTCGAAGTGCAAAACGGAATAGTATGAATAATCTCTGCTACATCTTTTGCGTGCTGTTGAGGACTCTGGAATGGCAACCTATGCTGTTTTTCCCAATAAGCAGGCTTCGCAAAAAACATTTTCACATCAATGCCACGGGATTGTAGTACCTTTTTAACATGGTGCTTATCAAAATGTTCTAGCCTTTTATACCTCAGTTGAAAGGAATTTGTTTCACTTAAATGAGCTTCAGAATCAAAAACATCATTACCCTCAACAGTAACGACAATTTCGTATAATAACTATAAAAAAAATTCCAACAGCAAATTTAGATTTTAAAAATTCGCACTTATCATTTGCTTTGCTCACTGAAAATAAATTCTTTGAAACATCGGGGGCATAAAAAAACATTTCACATTTAGTTGTTTCTCAAAAAAAAAACATGTAACAGCAAACTCACCTGGACCGACCACATAAAAAATGCAATAGACAAAGCCAATGCAGCAATAAATGCAATTCAACCTCTCATCTACAACCGGAA